TGAGTTTCCTGGCTCCCTCAGCGCTGCTGGCCACCTGAGTTGCCGGCTGAACGGTGTGTGGTCTAGCTCCCCAGTACACCCAGGACAGGCTCTGCCGTAGCTGGGAAGGGCTACAGAAGGGGTCGGTTTCAAAGGAAAGTGTCTCAGAGGGAATGAGGCACAGAACTGAGCTGCAGCTCTTAGAGAGCTGTTTGGGATTGATGTTCTTCTCTTCTTTCCAGGTCAAACAGTGAAGCCATTACCACTGACCTGCCCTGACTTCCAGGACCCTTTCTCCTTGACTGAGAAACCACCTGCTGAGTTTTGTCTGTCCCCAGATGGCAACTCCGAAGCCATTTCCATTGACCTGCTTCAGAAAAAAGGTGGATAGAACCCCAGCTCAGGCCAGGAATTCTGTGGTCACTACCTATTTTTGCCTGTTGCCCTGCTACCTGATCCTCCAGGTATTTCCCTGTCTTAGAATTCCAAGTGCCAGGAAGGAATTAGCACAGGCATCAGAGCAAGAAGTCTATGTACTGTGTGTGTACCGTGTACCGTGAGAATGTGCAGGTGAGCAAGGGTCATTTATGAGATGCTTTGGAGTTGGGCTTTAGTCCCTTCACTCCAGGAGGTGAGTACGGTGAGGGAGACTGCATGTCATAACTAAATGCCCACATGCTTGCTCTCTTGGGGGGAATTCAGTTGTTAGCTGCTTGGGTAAACATGATGGTAACTTCTAGTAAGATATGGACTGACAAGGAATCACTCTGTTTAGCAAATTAGGGACCACAGCAGAGCAGTTTCAGTGAAACAGTGGGAAAATACTGAGCATAATTATGGACTGAAGGGGAAGGAGCCCATTAAAAGAGAAGTAATATATCTCTCTTGAATGAGTCCAAAGACTCATCCAGGTCTTTTGGATGGAGAGGAAAGTTGAAGGGATTCATGACCAGTGACCTCTGCTCTCCATGTGAGTAGAACCAAGGACTTGGGAAGAGGGTGAAGATCTGGCATGGCAACTTGAAAGCCAACTGAGGGTGCCACAAGGCACACTTCAGAGAAGTGCCCTTGTCAGTCACTGGTGTGAGTGGCCCTGGCCTTTATCCAGTAGCCAGTGCCTTGGTGTCTTGGAATGGAAAAGACAATAAATTGATCCAGGATTGGAGTAAGAGGGCAGGGAAGTTAGGACTTGGAGGGTCTCAACCATGGAATCACTGAAGTGGGTCCAGGCTGGGAGGTGAAAACAGGGACTTGAGAACTGGGCAAAATTAGGAAGTGGCCAGGGCCCGGTACCTTGATGAAGCCCATGTGCAGGGGCGGAGAGAGTGTGTAAGTATGGAAGCCCCTCCCTCTCCCTCCAAGGCTCAGTCCCAGCTGAGTTGCCCAGAGACGTGTTCAGGGACCTGTTAACATCAAATTCTTGCTTACAGGGCTGGTGAAAGCTGTTAACACTGCAGTGGATCTCATTGTGGCCCATTTTGGCACAAGCCGGGATCCCGGAGTGAAGGTAGGCAAGAAACCGTGGAGAGCTGAGTTCTGCCCTGCTAACCCTCACCTTCCCTGTGCCGCCACCTTCCCCTGCTCTCTTGCATTTAGAGCCTAGAATTGATACCTAGGGATGGGGATCCCAACAGAAGCACCAGGACTGCTAAGAGCGTCCAGGAGGACCAGGTCGGACTCCAAACAATTCCCTGTACTTCCCTCCTGTGTCCACAGGCAAAGCTGGGGAACAGTTCCGTTAGCCCCAATGTAGGCCACCTGGTCCTGAAGTACTTGTGCCCTGCGGTCCAGGCTGTGCTGGAGGACGGGCTCAAGGCCTTTGTACTAGACGTCATCATTGGGCAACGAAAGAACATGCCATGGAGTGTGGTTGAGGCCTCTACACAGCTAGGTAAGTGCTGAGTGCAAGAGGAGGGTCCCAGGGTGACTTTTGGGTTCTGGAGACTGAGCGTGTGACCTTCAGCTCTGGCTTCCTCCCAGGCCCATCCACCAAGGTCCTGCACGGCCTCTACAACAAAGTCAGCCAGTTCCCAGAGCTCACCAGTCACACCATGCGCTTCAATGCCTTCATCCTCGGCCTGCTCAAGTGAGTGTGTGGTAGCATGGCAAGATCTGAAAGCCACTGGCCCCCTCCCCCGGGCTCTGCTGCCTCTGAGGAAGCAACTCCCCAGGCTAAAGCTGAGATCCGTGGGCTCCACGGCCAGAGCCCAGGCTCACTTCCCCCCCACAGAGCTACAGCCTCTCTCTGTAGGTCACTGGTTCACCACCACACCCACGACCCTCTGGCACTAACACCAACATGGTCTTCTGCATTTACACATCCACTGTCTGGCTTACTTGGAAATGGATCTGGTTCTCAGTGTCTCTGGATATTGTAAACCCCGATCCTCTCAATTCCAGCACTGCTTCCAAGTCTTGCTTCATGCTAAGTCCTCCTTGGGACCCACGTCATAGTATTCTTCTTTCTCAAGTATGGGCTCAGGTCATCCCCTCTGGCTCCGTACTCAGTAGCTGCCCTGACTTCCTGGGTCTCGTACAAGATGACTCATTTTAGGAGGGAGTAATTGGCTTGTGAATCACATGTTCACCCCCTCCCTACATCCCCACTGACTGTCCAGACCTATATGACACGAAATAAACTGGGCAGCATCCGTGCCATAGCAGGGAGAAGGGAGATGCTCACCTATAGTCAGCCGTGTATCTGCCCCATGTGTCCGTCTCCTTTGCACCTTATCTGTCTGTGTCCACATAAGACTCACCTCTTTTTACCTATCTCCCTACAGCATCCGGTCCCTGGAGTTCTGGTTCAATCACCTATATAACCATGAAGGTAATGCCCAGAAGCCTGCCCTGTATTACAAACTCAACATAGACCAGACCTCAGAAGCTCAAAAGAGGGAGGCACAGCTGTCTCTTCAGATGCTAAAGGTGGAGAGGGGAACTGTACCAGTTTCATCCTCAAAGCTTGGGCCCCTACCCAAGTCCTTCCCCAGCTTCTGCTGTGTTAGAGCTTGGCAGTCGGCAGGACAGTCAGGCAGCCAGGTAGTCAGGGTGCCAGAAAGCCCAACACTGTCTTAGGGTCGTAGAGTTAATGCACCACACAACTTCAGGAGTCATTTATAGCTGCAGTACCTCTAAACGCACAGTACACAGCCTCACACGTGACTCTGCCCAGGTTACCTTTCAGAGGCCCACCCAGGCCGGGCTGTTCCTCTGTGTGGCTCAGTCCCTCTCTCTTTCTCCCTAGACATCATCCAGACCCACTACCAGCCGTGGGGCTTCCTGAGTGCAGCACACACTGTGTGCCCTGCCCTCTTTGAGGAGCTACTGCTGCTGCTACAGCCCCTGGCCCTGCTGCCCTTCAGCCTCGACTTACTGTTCCAGCACCGGCTGCTGCAAAGTGGGCAGCAGCAGCGGCAGCACAAGGAGCTGCTGCGGGTGTCCCAGGACCTGCTGCTGTCCGCCCACTCAACACTGCAGTTGGCCCGGGCCCGGGGCCAGGAGGGCCCTGGAGACATGGACAGGGCAGTCCAAGGGGAACGGGTGAAGGGTGTGGGTGCCCCAGAAGGTGGAGAAGATGAGGAAGAAGAGGAGGAGACTGGAGAGGTGGCAGAAGCAGCTGGGGGCTCAGGGCGTGGCAGGACCCGAGGTGGGCAGACTGGCTGGTGGTACCAGCTCATGCAGAGCTCCCAGGTCTACATCGATGGCTCCACTGAGGGTTCTAGGTTCCCCCGAGGTGGCAACAACAGCTGCAGTAGCAGCAGCAATGAGAAAAAGAAAGGGGCAGGCAGTGGAGGGCCACCCCCCAGAGAGGGCGTAGTAGAGGGAGCTGAGGCCTGCCCTGCCTCTGAGGAGACCCTTGGCAGGGACAGGGGCTGGCCCTTCTGGATGGGGAGCCCCCCTGATTCTGTGTTGGCCGAGCTGAGGCGCAGTCGGGATAGAGAAGGGTCTGCTGCCCCTGCACCAGAAAGTGAAGAAGGAGCCTCAGGGCCTTCACCTGGAGGCATCAAGTGGGGATACCTTTTTGGGTCTCGGAAGCCTCAGCGGGAAGCCCGGCCCACAAACAGGTAAGAGGTAGCCCGCGGAATAAGCAGGGGGAGTGGGGGAGCCTGATCTCAGCCAGGGCCCAGACAGCCCCAACTGCCGTCCCCTAGGCTCCCATCGGACTGGCTGAGTCTGGACAAGTCCATGTTCCAGCTAGTGGCACAGACCGTGGGTGTCCGCCGGGAACCAGAGCCCAGGGACAGCCTGCAGGAGCCACACTCTCCAGCCCTGCCCTCCAAGCCTCCGTGGTGAGCCCTGGGAGATAGAAAGATTGGGGGCTGGGTTTGGCATTGGGTGGGGTTTCTCTGACCTCCATTTGTTGTTTTCCCAGCGAAGTAAAGGCACTGTGCCACCATCTGGCCACAGGCCCTGGACAGCTGAGCTTCCACAAGGGAGATATCCTTCGAGTGCTGGGGCCAGCCGGAGGAGACTGGCTGCGCTGTAGTCGTGGCCCTGATACCGGCCTGGTGCCTCTGGCCTATGTGACCTTGACCCCAACTCCAAGTTCAACTCCTGGAAGCAGCCAAAACTGAGGCCCTGTGCATGCTGCTGGCCTCAGGGACCCTCATAACCCCCAGACTCAGAGCCTGAGAACCCTTCCCAAGCCCTCAGGCTTGGCTACAGAGAGCAGACTGAGAGCTGGGCCACTTATCCCTGTGCTCAGTATTAATTACTCCCCCTTAACCGTGCCAGTGACCTCGTCTAGACCTCCGCCCAGGGAAGGAGGGAAGGGACGCAGCGCTGGACTGCCAGCATTTCCCCGGCCCATCTGGGCCGGCCTTCCTGTGGGTGCAGGACCCCCCAGGCAGAGCAGTGATGACGTCAGGTGGTAGTCCAGGGGCAGACCCCTAAGTTCCCAGATGTAAATAGGCTGCAGCCAATGCCTGGCGGTTAGAGGAGGGAAGAGGAGCCCAGGCTTCTGTTTATGTATTTATTTATTTATTTATTACACCTATTAATAAAAAAGGTGCTTGGCCTCCAGACCATTTTCTCTTTGTGCCTGCCCCCACTGTCCAGCCCATCTCTCTCTCTTCCAAAAGGATGGCTGGGAAAGATGGAAAGGGAAGAGAGAACTTGCAGTCCAGGTACCTACGCCACAACCTGCTTCTGGAAGGTGCTGAGGCCCAGAGCATCATGGGTGAGGTGCCCATATGTGCGGCCAAACTGGAACTTGTACCCTGTGTGGCCAAGAAAGTCTGTCACTTACTTCTCAGCCAGTTGATTAGGCCCTCCAAGCTGCCCTCCAAAATCCGGTCCCAATTCCCCACTGTGAGCCACCTCAGTCTCCTTTTCTGCCCAATGCTAAAGTGGAACCACATGATCCAAGGTCCCCCATGTTTATCAGTTCCAACCCCCAACCTCCACCCACCACACACACACACACACACACATCCCAGTCCCAGAAGCCTCCCTCGGGGGCCATCCTCACCTGGCACATAGCCCCCATAGTTAGGTAAAAGGCCCAGGTTCTGAGGGTAGGTCCTTGAAAGTGGGGGGAGATGTTTGAGTCCCGTCTGGGGTTTGCCCCGTGAGCACATCTGTCCAAATTCCCGCAGTGCCTGGTTGGTGAGCACAGGAAAACCGGAGCCGAAGAGGAAACGGGCCCGGGGCACGTAGCCAGTAAAACCTGAGGAATGTGGACACTGAGTCAGGCCGTCCTGGGGACCTCCCCATACCCCTGGCCATTACCCACCTCCCCTCACCTGACATGAAGAACTTGTGAGGATCTCTGTCATCCATGGAGTAGGGGGAAGCCTTGTGAGGGAAGGTGACAGAAGAAAAGTAGGCAATCAAATTCGGCCCTGTGCTCCAACGCACGCTTCCAGGGAGGTGGAGCTGGCAGTTAAGCCTGTGTCCCCGGCCTACACAGAGGTGAGGCTCCCCACTCCCCCCACACTGCCTTGCAGCCTCACCCCCACCCCCAGCCTTCTCAGTCTTACTTGTCCCGCCTCCTGCCCCAGCTCTGGCTCCTCCTCCTCCAGCTCTGACTTAAGCTTTGGCTCTTGGTCTTGTTCCACATCTTCTCCCTTGACCTCCTTTGGTAGCTCCTGCTTCCCTTGCTCCCCAGGCCACTGGGTAAAATCATTCAGAGCCTCAGCCCAGACCTGGCTGCAGTTCTTGGCGAAGATGAACTGTGCCTGGGGGACAAAACCTAGAGGAGTAGGGGGCAAGGGAGGTTTCCGTTAGTGCTTGGGACATGTGTTCTGGGATGGGCGTCTGGTTCACATTTGTGTACATACCTGTGTACCCAGGGATCATGCTGCAACTGAGCCTTTTATGCCCACGCCTGATGGGCAGGCTTCCCCTGGAAACCTCAGGAGATCTCGGAGGCTGAATGGGAGGCAGGAGAATGCGACGAGCAGGGGGCCAGGCTAGGCCAGGAGCTCCTCGAAGTAGCTGACCAGTCATGTGCCCATAGGTCTGGCCCATGCTGAACCGAAGTAGTGGGCAGTGTCCAGTGTACCTGTAGTGCGGGACTCACCCACTCACCTACAACCCCCCGCCCCACCTTCCCCAGAGACAGAAGCAGAGACCTCGGAAGCACTGTCTTTTCTGGACTCAGCTGTGCATATATCTGGGGCAGGCATATCTCAGATCTCTGCCTGGGTTTTCAACCCTCCCCGTCTGCTGTTACCCTGTTACCATGGAGAAGACAACACAAAACTCTGTGGCAGGCCCAGCAACCACTATCCCTTGCTTTCCCTTTTCTGTCCAGTACCATGGATATTGCATGGATATATGCTTCCTGTACAGGTATGTCCACTTGGCCCCTGAGATCCAGGTGGCACAACTCCTATATCCCTATAACCCTATTCCCAGAAGCAACAAGGCTGTGCTCTGGGTAGAAGCCTTACCCCGGGATATAATGAGGATTCTGAGGGTTCAGCCCCGGTACGAAGGTGCTGGCCACAGCCATGGGAACACAGGCAGTCCCTTTTGTTTCCCTTTGGGCAGAGGCTCTGGGCTGTGTGTATACTGTGTCCAGGGCTGTGGGGCGGAGCCAGAGGTGGGGCGGGGCTGAGGGAGGAGAAATGGGGCAGGGTACTAGTGTGATGACTGCCAAGGCCAAGGTCAGTGGAACAGGAGAGCAGAGGTTCAGGAGTCTGTCTACTCCAGAACAAATGCAGTTCTGCCCCTTGGGGGCAGGGGAAAGTCTCAGTACAGCCTCCCCGTGCCAGGACCCAAGGAAGCCCTGAGGTGGGAAGAGGGAGAGCAAAAACTTAGGTCCATTCAGCTGTAGCTCAAAAGAGGGCTCTTCCTTCTTAAGCCTTCATTGAAGCACCTGCCTGAGGAGATGTGGATTCTGCTCTTTGTCTTGATTAAAAGTGATGGAATTCCTTGGGAAAACAGGGTCTCCAAGGAGAACCCAGAGGAGAGGTGACAGGGGAAAAAGGAAACTAGAAACATCTAGTCAGTGACTATTAATTTTCAGTAGTACAACTTGACAATTACTTATTGCACACCTACTATCATCTGGATCACCACCCATCAACAAATATGCCACACCCTGCTAGGCAGCTTCATGGCGGCAGCATGTGTACTACATAGGAGTCAGAAAAGCTAAGCTTCACATGACTTTGGGCAAGTAACTTGGTATCTCTCAACCCCACTGCCATTTATAAAATGCGGATACTACTCCTCACCCTGCTACTCCAGAACAAATGCAGTTTGTGAGGCTCAATCCAAGGTATGCAAAGATCTTTGTAACAATGAAGATGCTGGCAGGGGACAGCATGGGCCTGGCAGTCATGGGTTCCCAACAGCTTGTGCCCTCCATCTGACCCTACCTTCTCTGTGCAGGTGACTTCTGAATTCTCTAACCTCCAACGTGCAGGTCAAGATAACCTAACCAGCCAAGATGCTGTTAGTGATAAAGTTGGATAGTGTGTGTGAAAGAACTTAGCACATAGCTACTAAAATTTAATTTCCTACCCTATTGCCTAGTATTGTCTCTCAGCTTCTAATATATACAGGAAGTCAATGAATGGTTAGCAAATCCAGTGGACACAGGTTTTTTTACTGTGAGAGTTCAAAGGAAAAAATATGAGCATAATGTTGAGATTTAAGACTAGGGGGCAAATTAGAATATGTATAAAAGAAAAGAAATCAGATTCTAAGAGAATAACAGACCGGGAAGACAAGATCTCAGAGACAGTGGGGAGCATGTTGAGAACTCAGCTCCAGAGCTCAGTCGAGGCCAGGCCAGCCAGCCTCTCCCAGGAGCCTCTGCTCCCCACCCCAGCCCCAGGCCAGGACTAAGTGTATATCCCTGACTTCTTAGGAGTTGCACAAGAGCACTGGGTCCTGAGAAATACATTTCCTATTCCACACCATGCTGCCAAGGACAACCTGGGTGTGTGTCATTTAGAGCTAGAGTTGTAGGGGACTTGGCTCACAATTAAGGAAATATATTAGAGCATCGATGTTCAACCTTTTTCATCTCACAACACAACTAAAGTACTAAAATTCTGCTGATCTGACCAAAAAATTGGGTGTAATTTTGATTCATTGACACTGGACAACTATTATTGTGTTAGCTGTTGTCATTTTTTTATTTGGCCATCTAAGGGAAAAGCAGTCTGTGCTCCAGACTAAAGTCCAGGTATTGAGCATTTTAAAAATTCTTGCAGCACACTGGTTGCAAATTCCTGTGCTAGAGTGAGGGCAGGAGCTGAGGGGAGAACCCAGAATAGCACAGTGTGTCAAGGTTAACAGCCTGGACATTTGGATTCTGTAACAGACATCATTGGTTGTGTACCTCATCCCTATTCCCTACCCCCACCTCCATTTTTTCTAACGGAACCTTAATTTTGTTTTGCCAAGCAGCCAGCAACTTCAAGGAAGCTTGGAGCCAGCCCCAGGTCTAATGGGCTTGATTAGTCTAAGCCTATCATAATGGTCCCATACCTCTTGCCAATGATGCGCTAGCATAAGCTTGTGGCATTCTGGCAACATGAGAGGAAGTCCAAGATGAGGGAGGCTCCTGGGGAGAGTTTCTTTGCTCTTAAGAAAGAGGCACAGAAAATTAAAAAGAAAGAGATGCGCAAGAAGGAATAATGTCCTTCCTTGCCTCTAGAAGTTCTGCGGATATGATGATGGAACTTTGGCAGGCATCGTGAAACCCAATCTGGGGACAAAGTCCGAATACATCAAGGGTGGATGGTAGAGTAGAGAGGCCTGGGTCCTTATGGTAATGTAGAGCCACTGAAATAACCAGCCTTTTAATGTGAAATAACTTCATTACTGTTTAGGTGACTTTAAGTTTTCTTTTACTCAGAGCCAAAGGCATCATAAGGTAAAAGTTAAAAAAAAAAATCTAGCCCTGACCAGTGTGACTCACTTGGTTGGGCAGCATCCTGTACAGCGAAGGGTGGCCATTTTGATTTCCGGTCAGGGCATGTGCCTGGGTTGTGGTGACGTCCCTGGTTGGGGCACATGCGAGAGGCAACAGATGGGTGTTTCTCACATCGACCTTTCTCTCCTTCTCTCCCTCCCTTCCCTCTCTCTAAAAATAAATAAATAAAATCTCTTTTTGAAAAAACCTAGTTCAGCTTCCAGTTTTACTAGAAATATAAGCTTTTGCCAAATTCATCTCATCGAGGGTCAGTTTTCCCAGCGATAATGGGGAACTAATGTTACTACCTCAGTGAATAGGATAAGAGATGAGATGACACATAAAGAGCAGTTGGCCTCATGCCTATCTTATGTTAAGTGCTAAATAACTAGAAAGTCAGTGGTTGAAGTTTGGAAAGAAAGAAAGGAAAAGAATTGAGGACAGTAACAGAGGTTGTCAGAATCACCTAGAGAGATGGTTCTAAAATATTCGTGTCCAACCCCAACCATGTTTTTCTGGGAATTAGGGGCCCTGATATATATTTTCTTAAACATCTTAAATTGGAAAAAAAACTAGTATATAGAAAAATTACAATAAAAATATAATCTTTACCTGGATTTATCATCTATTCATATTTTGCAGCACAGAAGTATACACTTCCACGTGTCAGGAAGGAAGGAGAAGCAAATATAGATGAGCACTAATATCTGTACCACACTCATCACTCTCAAGCATCTCACAGCAGATGAACTGGCCTCCTGTATCAACCAGCTCTGCTCAGGGAGGGCAGGTCCTGTGGTGTAGACCACAAGGGCTTCAGCTGAATAGGCTACAGACAGACTAGCCAGGTACCCAGGTCTAAAAAACAACTAAACTAGCTAATAACTGAGCAGTCAACTCAGTGAGCTAGAAAGAGGAACATCATAAGCTAATGAAAATAGGAAGAGTTTATGAAGCTAACAATAAAATCCAATAAATCAGAAAAACAACTAAAATAATTATAAGAGCTGTCTTAAAAAATAACAACAACAACCAAAAAGGCAAACTGACACAGCCAAAAGAAAAAAACTACTCAAACCCCCTAATGGCATGAGGAAGTGGCTAAAAACAGACACGGAATTTTTTTTAAGGCTAAAAGAATATTAAGTGAAACTATACATGACTAAACTAGAAAACCTCAGTGAGATTAATATTATCTGGTAAAATATAAACCAAAATCAACCCCAAACCATACTGAATACCTGAATAACCGTAGAAGAAAGGAGAAAGTGGTCAAGTGCATGCCCCCTACAAAAAAAGCCCACATTCATGTAATTTACAAAATAATATGAACTTAATTCAAGACCTAGCAAATTCAAGAGCAAACAAATCCCACAATAGTTATACAGAGGAGTCTTGACTGGTGTGGCCCAGGTGGTTGGTTGGTCATCGTCCAGCAAAGTGAAAGGTCACAGGTTTGATGCCCAGCCTGAGTTGTGGTCCCCAGGGCACATGCGGGCTGGAGGCGGCCGATCCATATTTCTCTCACACATGATTCTCTTTCTCTCTTCCTCCCTTCCCCTCTCTCTAAAAATAAATAAATAAATAATATTTTTTAAAAAGACTACTAGGATATTCTCCAGGACTGCAATAATGATTGAACTAGAAAATCTATCAACATCAGTACATAAATAAACCAATGGAAATAAAAGCCGCTTGATCACCCTGACTCATACTGGGGGAATCTTTTACACAATGAAATGCCCATGTGTGATTTTTTAAGAAGGATTTTTAGTAAACCGGGAATAGAAACATAATAAAGAATATTTGAAAGGAACAGCCATTATCTAACTACATCAAAGAGAAAAGCAAAAGCCAGGGTTGGCAAACAGGTCTTGTTTAATGAACCACATCCAATTAATCGTAATCAATAACAGGAGGGATACTGTGAGGTTTCTGGAATAGGGAATGACTTAGCAGGAAAAATACTATGGATTAGCCCTGTTTGCCGCGGTCGTAACTCTGATGCCTGCAGGCAGTAGACTTGATAGTCTTTCAACTCTACACAGCAAAATGTGGTAAATATTTATAAAACAATGGGGGAAATGTGATCAGATGCTTGATATTAAGAAATTGTTCACTTTTTTAGGTGTGAGAATGGCACTGTGATTTTATTTTAAAGAAGAATCTTTATATTTTAGAGATAACGTTAAAATATTTATCAGTGAAAGACCATAATGTCAGAAATATAGGTGGGGGTGGGACAGGGGAATAAATGAAAAAAAATTGGCCATGAGTTGATCATTGGAGAACCACTGGCATAAAAGGCACATGAAAGTTGGTGGCTTTACTCACATGTCACTGATGGCAACTGAGGCCAGGTCTCGAAATGGTCTTACCCAAAGGAAAGAAGGGTTCATTGTTCTATTCTCTGTGTGTGTGTTTTTTTTCTTTTGACATTTTCCATCATAAAAAGTTTGAAAAACAACAAAAGGATCTTCTCATAGCCTAACTCAAGGGACATTTAAAATTTATCTCTATTATTTAGCGCTGCTCATTATTCCATTTTTCCTAAACTCTCCATTTCTTGGATTCCATGGCACCAGAATCTCTAGATTCTCTCCCCATCTCTCAGCTTGTTTCTTCTCAGTCTCCTTCATGGACTTCTCCTCTTCCTTCCATCCTTTAATGCTGGTTTTCCCCAGGATTCCACTGCCAGCCTATTTCTCCCTCTGCATACCCTACTCAGATGATGGCATCTACTTTCATAGTTTTACCATCACCCCTTTGTTTATGGCAACCATTTACCTTCCTCCATTCACCCTTTCCTCCTCCTGGATTTTTTATCTCAGTGGGTACCTCCCTGTCACCTGAACTAGAAATTTAAAAATTATCCTCGCTGATGCTCTTTCACTCCACAAGACTGACTCTGGATACTAATCAATCAGCAAGTTTTCCCATATCACTTGGGTGTTTCCTCTTCTTCTTCCCTATGATTCCTACCGCAGTTCAGTCACTCATCCTCTCCCAACTGAATCGTCGTCAGAGCCTCCTTCCTAAGCAGGCTCCCTGCGCCAGTAACCACCACAGTTATCTTTCTTAAGCAGGAACCTGATGCCTCGGCTTGGAATTACTATCATCAACAGTAGTAATTCTCAAACTTGGATAAAGGGTCATATACGTGTCCATTAAAGTTGCCATTATGATATTACTTAAACAAAATGAGGCATTAATTCCTAACACTTACAGATCTCATACTTCAATAGAAAGCAAATTTACAAATTAAATCGTTGTAGATGTTAACATTAATTTACAGTGACGAATGAGATTGTTTTGCTGAGACCAAATTGCCTCTGGAAGAATGAGTATGATGTACATGATCCAGGCACAGGCTTCTCCAGACTGGCCCGTCACCAGTGGCTCTGGAAGGGCTGTGAATCTCTCCTGGCATTCCCTCCAAACTTGGGCAAAACCTCACCGAGACAGCATCTGACCTTCTCCTGGCCCCAATGCATCCTTTATAAATTAAGACTGTATTTATTCTTTTCTCATTAGCTCTTGACAAAGTACTTGGCCCCAGCTCTTATAAACATGGGACAGGTCTCTAATTTTCAGCTTATCACAGAAATAGAAAATTTTTTTTGAAAAAAAATTTCAAAGCCTCCACTTCCACCGCCCTCCATTCCACCGCTAGGTGGCGTTCACCAACACCCCCTCCGCTCGTCTGGGAGCTGTTGCCGGGATCGAGCGGAGTCCCCCACTCCGGGCGATGATTGGCTATTTCGCAGGACGAAACCGGAAGCGTCGGGTACGGCGAGTGCACAGGGTCCCGAAATACTAAGTGCGCATTTTGGGTTCGGCGCTCACTTGGAAGCCAGCTGCAGCTCCTCCTCCCGCCTGAGGGAGGCAGATCGGATTTCTACCTGACGCAGGGCGGAACCTGCTGAGAGGGGTCACACTAAGAAGGGCGGAGCCACACTTAGGGGAGGAGTGTCGTTGAGAGGAAGGGTCACAATGACTGGTGGAGTCACTCGGCTGTGGGTTCTCACTACGTGTTCCACGTGTTCCACGTAGTGAGGCACTGACAGGTTCTGCTACACACTGACGTTAGCACTGAGGCAAGGTCCCTCCGAAGGAGAGGTTTCTCACTTGGAGGGGAAGGGGCCCTTGAGGGGCGGGGCTTGCCAAGGGGTGGGATCTCGTGGAAGGAGGGGCTTCCCTGCTGGTGGAGATTTCTGTGAGAAAAAGGGTCATTTGGACGAAATAGTAAGAAGATCAAGGCTGTGTCACAAGGAGGAGGCTCTGAAATTTGAACTTGATTTGAGGAAGATGGGATGGAGTGAGGAGGAATTGGGGCCACACTAGGGATGGGCGGGCCGAGGGCTCACGGCCGCCGGAGAAGGAAGTTTCAGGGAGTCCAGAGGTTTACGGTGTAGGGGTGGAAACATGGGGAATGGGAAGGGTGGGCCAAGGTGGAGGCCAGGAAGGCGGGCAGGTTGCTGGGCTGCCTTAGATTTTGATTGGCCATGAGGGGTCTAATTTTTTTGCCCTGCTGGTCCATGGAGCCCAGGAATCCGGCGGCTTCCCAAGCCCGACCCTCAACCGACAGTGACCTGAAGGTGGAAGGGGAGAAAAGAGTCCTCGAGCAGCAAAAGACATTTGAACTGCACGTACGCACAATCAGCTCTTAACGCCCTTCAGTTATTCAGCTCGAGCCCAAATTCATTTGACCCCGACGCCCTGACCCACCGCCTTGGGCGTCACCGCCAACGGCTGAGGTTGCGTACCTGAGGGGGCGTGGCCGATGCCTGGGGGCCGGGCTCCAAGGAGTTAAGCAGTGGCCCTGCTCAGCCCCGCCCCCAGCAGGCCGCTGAGCCTGAGCTCCAGCAGTGAAACCGAGCAGCCCGCCGCCGCCGCCTCCGGCCCGACAGCCTCCGCCTGCCCGGAGCCCCGACTGCCCGCCGGCGCCCGGGAGCGCCAACGCCACCGCCCGGCTCAGGCCCAGGCCTGCGCGGAGCGGAGCGGTGCGGCGTCCACCCGGGCCCAGCAAACCGGCGCGGCGGGGGCGGGCCCAGGATCTTGAGCAGATCTTCCATTCTCCTAGGCGGGAGCGAGAGTCCCGGTGCCCCGGATCGGGCTGGGCCCGCGCCCATGGCAAGCACGGCTTGCCCGGGCCCCGGGGACCCTGCCATGTGAGGCAGGCCCGGGCTGGGGGCCCGGCCATGGCCGGGGAACGTCCCCCACAACGGGGCCCTGGGCCCGGGCCCGGAGAGGCGCCGGGGGAGGGGCCCCCAGGGCCGGGGGGCGCGGGTGGAGGCCGGGGCCGCCCCTCCTCCTACCGGGCTCTCCGCAGCGCTGTGTCTAGCCTGGCGCGCGTGGACGATTTCCACTGCGCGGAGAAGATCGGGGCCGGCTTCTTCTCTGAGGTCTACAAGGTAGGACCGGTAGAGAGAGCAAAGGGGCGGGACCAAGCCTTAGACGAGGGGCTGGTGCTAGGGGACCCGGACGCGGACTACTCGTCCGACCTGTCCGGGACTCACCTTCCCCTGACACCCTCAGGTTCGGCACCGACAGTCAGGGCAAGTCATGGTGCTGAAAATGAACAGGCTCCCCAGTAACCGGGGAAACACACTACGGGAGGTGCAGCTAATGAACCGGCTCCGGCACCCCAACATCTTAAGGTGAGCGGCTCCAGCCGCTTGCTGGGAAGCTTGCTGGGAGAAGGGGAAAGATTCCGCTGGAAGAGTGGGAGCTGCGGAGAAGCCGGATCTCTTACAGCCTACCCTCCTATCTTCCCTCCCTTATTCCAGGTTCATGGGGGTCTGTGTGCACCAGGGGCAGCTGCACGCTCTTACAGAGGTGAGGATGGGCCAGGAATGAGGAACACCCACTACTGCCAAGGGGAGAGAGAGGCACGCACGACCTGGTGCTTCTATAGAGGAATAGTGAGAGGCAGCAGGACCTCCCACGGAGTCCTCCCCAAACTTCCCTCTGGCAAACCACAAATAAAAGGCCTCAGCCGTTCTCACCCTCTATTCTCTAGAACAGCGTTGTCCCGCGGAACTTTCCGCAGTGATGAAAATGTTCTCTATCTGTGCTATGCAAAACTAGAGCCACTAGCCACATGTGGCTAGGGAGCACTGGAACTCTTGCTAGTCTGAGGAACTGAACCTTTAATTTTATTTAAACTTAATAATTTAATTTTAAATACTTGCACGTGTATTGGATAGGACAGTCCTAGAAGATTAATTTGGGACCTTGGAGCACAGGCCCTTCCCTTCTGACCTTTGTGATCCTCCTGAGTGTTCCCTGGCTTATAAGTAGGAGACTAGAGTACAAAATGAAACCTTGACATTCATTCTCCTTCTCCTCTCACTATGCCCCAGTATATGAATGGAGGGACCTTGGAACAGCTGCTCAGCTCCCCTGAACCCCTGTCCTGGCCTGTCAGGCTCCGCCTGGCTCTGGACATTGCCCACGGCCTGCGGTACCTGCATGCCAAAGGTGTATTCCACCGAGACCTCACATCCAAGGTAGGCTGGCCAGAGAGATCAAGGCATGAAAGGGGATTGAGACTTTTGGGTTGTAACTAGCCCATGGATGTTGGAGTGTAGATAATAAATATGTTAAGATGTTAGAGAAGCAAGCCAATGGGGAATGGGGGACTGGGGTGAGGGGGTGTGCTCTCAGGGGTTGAGTACCATTCTGTGTTTGGAGCGATGGATGATGTTGCAAGATTGGGGTGTATTGGAAAACTGGGTGAGGGTTGGGGTTATTCTGGAGTGACTGCGCTTTGGGTTATAGATTGGGAGATCAAAGAGCAGAGAGTGATAAGTGTGGGGGTGCTCTATGTGTCTACTAGAACTGTCTGATCCGTCGGGAAGACTGCAGCTTCACAGCCGTTGTGGGAGACTTTGGGCTGGCTGAGAAGATTCCTGTGTATAGGTGAGTTCAGTGCCCTGCCCCCAAAATGTCCCACAAGACCCCTCTAAATGAAGCCCCGAGGGACATTTCCCCTGGGGTGGGGATGGGGCCGACCTCATCCTGTTTTGTTTGAGGAGATTGCGTGAGTGGGGTGCTTCTGACCACTGCCCCCGCCCTGCAGGGAAGGGGAAAGGAAGGAGCCACTGGCTGTGGTTGGTTCACCGTATTGGATGGCTCCGGAGGTGTTGCGGGGTGAGCTATATGATGAGAAGGTGAGACATCAACCCTTCAGATCCAGAGACCCTTGAGATACTCTTAGGAGTCCCTACCCCGAGGTCCTCAACAGCCCTACCAGATACTTAGGAGGGTCCCAAGACCCCCTCCCCTTGCCCCTGACAGGCACCCCTCTGACACATGGAAACTGTCAAGACCCCGCATGGATTTGGACACATTCTAACAGAATTATGGCATGAAAACTGCCAATTCCTGCCCTTGACATTATCTCCCCCCCCCCCCCCGCAGGCTGACGTCTTTGCCTTTGGGATTATCCTCTGTGAGCTCATCGCACGAGTACCTGCAGACCCCGACTACCTACCCCGTACTGAGGTGAGTGATGTCTCCAGGTTTGAACAGGAGGGACTCTAGACTGGGCAACTTATAACCAAGAAGGGTTCCCTGGAGCTTGGGGTCCTGATTGGGAGGCCGAAGGAGAACCTGAGAAACGCTGACTCAGGGGCCCTTCCTTTCTGTCCCTGCAGGACTTTGGCCTAGATGTGCCCGCTTTCCGGACCCTAGTAGGGGATGACTGTCCACTGCCTTTCCTGCTGCTGGCCATCCACTGCTGCAGTGTAAGAGTCCCACCCTGCCTGCCCTCCGCCCTATCCGTCAGCTTCCAAGGCTCTCCTGTCCCAGGTGATGGGAGGAGAACTCAGGGACCCACTTTAGGAGCACTGAGTGAAGCTGCCCCTGTCTCTACCCATCAGATGGAACCTAGCGCTCGTGCGCCCTTCACCGAAATCACACATCACCTGGAATGGATCCTAGAGCAACTGTCTGAGCCAGCCCCCCTCTCCAGGGCTCCCCTGACACACAATCAGGGTAAGTGAGCATGACCTTGACCTAACCGGAGTCCTTTTGCCTTAGAGTTCAGGGAACTATCTGGGAGAGGCTAAGAATACTTATTAGTTGAGAAGGCTGGAGATGGAAGTGGGGTGAGAGGAAATCTCAAAGAAGATAGTTTGCTAATTCTAGAGCCTTAAAGAAGGAAAGAAGAAAAAAGGTAAAAAGTGGCTGGAGGTGATATCTCTCCCTTTCCAAAGCACGCTGTCAGACTCTGTTTTGTAAGCTCTAGTCCCGCCAACCTCCCGGCAAACAATGAGACCTCCAAGAAGCTGTCAGTGCCGAGAACAGTGATCACAGATTTCTCTGTCGACAGGGTCTGTTCCAAGAGGTGGTCCCTCTGCCACGCTTCCCAGGCCAGACCCCCGGCTCTCCCGAAGCCGGTCAGACCTCTTCCTGCCTCCATCACCAGAATCACCCCCCAACTGGGGGGACAATCTGACTCGAGTCAACCCCTTCTCACTACGGGAAGACCTCAGGGGTGGCAAGATCAAGCTTCTGGACATGCCTAGCAAGCCAGTGGCTCCCCTGCCCCTTGTGCTGCCATCACCACTGCTCCCCACCCAGCTGCCCCTGGTGACCACTCCGGAGACCCTCCTGCAGCCTGGGACACCTGCCCGTCGCTGCCGCTCATTACCATCATCACCTGAGCTCCCCCGACGTATGGAGACAGTACTGCCAGGTCCTGGCCCCCCTGCTGTGGGCCCCTCAGCTGAAGAGAGGATGGAGTGTGAGGGCAGTAGCCCTGAGCCAGAACCCCCAGGACCAGCTCTCCAGCTGCCCCTGGCCGTGGCCACAGACAACTTCATCAGCACTTGTTCATCAGCCTCCCAGCCCTGGTCCCCTAGATCAGGACCTCCCCTTAACAACAACCCCCCAGCTGTGGTGGTGAACTCCCCACAGGGCTGGGCCGGGGAGCCCTGGAACCGGGCCCAGCATAGTCTGCCCCGGGCAGCGGCTCTGGAGCGGACAGAACCCTCGCCGCCCCCTTCAGCTCCTCGGGAGCCTGACGAGGGACTACCCTGCCCGGGCTGCTGCCTGGGCCCCTTCAGCTTTGGCTTCTTGTCCATGTGCCCCCGCCCCACACCAGCTGTTGCCCGCTACCGCAACCTGAACTGTGAGGCGGGCAGTCTCCTCTGCCACCGAGGGCACCATGCCAAGCCACCCACACCCAGCCTTCAGCTGCCTGGGGCACGCTCTTAGCAGTGGGGCCTCCAACGCTGGCCTTCAGGATGCCCTGTGAGGACAGTGCACGTGCTGGACAGTGCCAGCCCCAGAAGGGCTGACCAGCTGCTCCGTATATGGGAACCTCAGCATGGACTCGAGGGACAGACATTTCCTATCCAGCCCCTGGGCTTGCTCTCCCGTGGGGATCACAGAGCATTGCTGACACACGAGACTAACACATGCGAATTATTTAAAAATATTTCAATAAAACTGCCTGGCTGGCTCCGGGCTGCCCCTATCCACTCAGGCCATGCGCCCTCCTCCCCTGACCCCCCCATTCCACTATGGGAGGTTCTTGAGGAGGCCAAAATCTCTTCTAGAGGTTTCTGCACCCTTTTCCCAGGAATAGTCCAGTTTCTGGGGCAGGATTTCAAGCAGGCAGCAGGCTGCTTGGAAGTGTTGGGCTACATCAGTCCTTGGCCAGGCACTGTCCCCGCAGAGCGCGGGAACGCTGGAGGGAGATCATCAGAGGACTCGTGCCTACAAGTCAGGGACGAGGGGCACAGGCTCCTGCTGCTGTATCTGGAAGAGCAAAGTTGTCAATGAGCTCTGCAGTTGAGTGTCACTAAGAACCCTGATCCAGTTCACCCCAGTTCCCAGAACAGTCACATCGCCAGCCCCCCGTCAGTCCCAGGTCTTCCCTCCCCCTCTCCCTGTGCCACAGCCCCTTATATAAGCATACCAAGCTCCTGGAGGCAGTGGACATGACCCACTCCCAGGAACAAGTGTCCCCCACCCCCTGACCAGCTGAGTCCCTGTCCCCCCAGGCTCCCAAGCCTCAGTCCCACCCCACACACTTACTTAGCTCAGATCTGATCTGGACACTTAACAACTTCCCTCTCACAGACGCAGGGAAGGGAACTAGTACACTCCTGGTATCCTGTCCATCTGTATCGTGTCTTGTAGTGTACCCTGGGACATTGTTGGTTTTGAGAATTATACCTAAAGAGTGGTGAAACAGAACTGGGATAGGCTCTGGCCCCCTCCCTTCCATCCCTCCTCTCCCCTTGCCCTACATAAAACCTAACCCAAGTCCTAACTCAGCCTACCTGCCTAAGGCCATGTTTGGGTGTTTCAGGGACAGGTGTCTAGACTCCAACCTGAGAAGGCTTCAGGGCCAGGGGAGGGAAGAGTGACTCAAGGTCTTAAAAATGGAAATTCAAGTTAGGAACACAGGAGGTGACCATCCTGTGTCAGGGTCCCTGGGGTCGAACCTCAAAGTTACCCCACTGCCCCCTTACTTCCCTGGCACAACCCTAGTGCCCCAAATGGTCCTAGACAGGAGGTTAGAATATCAGGGTTCATTAGCTGTGGAGCCCTAGCTTCTCCTGAAAGAGGACATAGGTTCCAACCTACTAATAAATAAAAATCATGTACCAGGGACCACTAGGTACTGAGAATAAAATAGAGAATACGCATGTCCTACTTGTCCATAGAGGAAATGGACAAGTAGGCAATTACAATATTGATTTGTGAAAGGTTTGGGAGCAGGAGCTAAAGAGAAATCTCACTACTACGTCTTTATGAAGGACCTATGAAGTTGAAGATATTCAAAAGCACTAACAAACTTACCCATGGCCTCTTTTGCCATCCACCCATCTCTGGTCCTTTAACTTGATGTCAATCCAATATGAATCAGGCTGAGGAACTTCTTCCAACACCTTAGATAAGCTGCCCTGCCGATAATGATAACCCTGAGGGGAGATTCAGAGACACCAAGGTGTGTGGAGAACTAGGAGCAGCAGTGGAATGGGGGTGAGGGTGCAAAAGGGGTCCTGGGCTGATGGAAGAAAAAGTACTCTAGGGAGACCTAGGAGCTTGACGAGAGGACCGTGCCCATCTTTGGTGCGTGACACAGCTCATCAGTGACCTGTCCCCACACCCTCTGAGTGCTGTCATGCAGACGCAGGCTCAGCCTTCAGTTCCCCTCAGGGGGGATAAGAACTTCCACCAGCCTTTGGAGGGGAGTCATTCTGTGGGCTGCTGTGGCCACAAAGACCCAGTCCCTACAGTCTAGGCCACCAGGTGTGGGGCCTCTGCCTGAGTGGTCACGATAGTTGAAGAATCTGTTAGCCCAGAATGCTGGCCAGAAAGCTGACCTGTGAAACAGGTAAAAGTAAAGATGGTTCAAAAGTCAACTCTCATGCCAGCTCTCCAGTAGGGGCCACCTGGAGCACTGTGCTGAGCGGCCACGTGGAAAAGGAATGTGCGCCACAACATGCATGCCACATGGGCACTGCCATTCCTGACGATGTATGTCCCTTCACCTAAAAGTGCCCACGCCAATCTGTCAATAAAGGTATGCTTACTGCATAATAGTCATATTCACTAACTGTGGCCAGGCTGGAGGACAGAGTATTACAATAGCTTTTGCTCTCCTCCCAACTTCTCTTAACAAGTGAGATGTGAAAGCATTTCTTCTCCATCAGGGACCATCCCACGGGACAGCAGGTGTCTAAAAAACAGAAAGAGTAAGACAATACAGCCCAGATTTAGAAGGGAGATCTCAACGCTGGGAATGGAAGTGACCGCTCAGCAACCTAGTTGCCAGCACGGCTCCCCTAGGTCTAATCGCAGCGCCGTCATTGACCTTCTGGTCCTTGATCTTGGCGATCTTTCTGGAAATGCCAAGCTTATGTATACTTAGTAAAAGCCTTTAACATTCAACAACTTTACTCCTTAACAACCTGTGAGGTTTATTTTAATAGGGCTGGTGGCACGGTTCCCAATTTCTGAACAGTAACAGTTCCCCGCCCACCCTGACCCCGATTTTGGCTAACCTCACCTGGGCCCCCATAAGTGTTCCACAGGACTCTCATTCACCTCCTTAGCTCTCTAAAGCATCCCACGCTGCATACTGAAAACTTCCCCACACTCCTCAAGCTGCGAGCCACCTCCTTCCCTCTCTACTCTCCCACTAGTAGACAACCTTGGTCCCTATTTTCCTGAAATAGCTAAGCACTTGGAAACTCTATTTCCCTTCCCTCCACCTAAAAATGTCTCGTCTTTCTCTTTTCCTGACCATAAGAAATAAACATTCCTCTTTAACATCCCACACCTCAGTCTGTGCTCCTGGTCCCAACCCACCTCTTTCCATTGCATGAGTTATTCTCCTTGCCCCACCACAAGACTGCACCTTGTAAATCAGTAATTTAAAGGAATAAAAAGGAGTTGGTGCAGCCAAATAGAATAGGGTGAGAGATGAAGTGGCATGCTGAAAGGCAGGCAGGGGCCTTGAGGGCCATGTTAAGCGTTTTGTTTTATTTTTATATTACAAGAAAGAGAAGGTCAACGTGGGATTTTACACATAGGAATTTTGTTCACTGGCTACATCCCAAGTACCTGGGCACCATGCCGGACATATAATGTATTATGTAACTTTTGATTAACTAACAAACTGGAATGACATGCTTTGCACTGGGATGGCAAGATCATATTTTCATTTTTAAAGGGCTACCCTGGCCGCAGTACGAAGAGTGGAACAGGGGTGTGGGGGATGCTCGGGAAAAACATCCAGCAAGCTGTTGCTTTTATCCTTCCAAGGGATGGGGCTGGGCAAAGGTGTAGATGGGCATATGGACTTTAGGGGGGAAATGGAGGGAACTCCTCTCTGATGGAGCAGGGCATCTGCAAACAGCAAGAGAGAGGGTAGTAGGGTAAGCAGTCATTATGGACAGCAAGGTAACCAGGCAATGCCGAGGCCCCAGCTGAGGTCGAAACTGAAGTTTCAGTGGCACTAAACAGAATGATCGCGCCTCAGTGTGGGCATGGGCAAGGTGGACAGTTGAGTTCATCCAGAGTTCAGACACTGCCAGTGTCTGAACCAAAAGGTGCACCAAAAGGGCAGAAGAACAAAGGAGTGAGTGGTCATAGTGATGGATCCCTCAAGGGCAAGATGGGTAGAGAGAGAGAAGTGAGAACAGGTGACAGCTGCTGGAAGGGAGGAAGCAGGGGAGTCAGTGGGGTGGAGACCTCAGTGAGGTTGCAGAAGTGTGGGGAGACCCTGGAGCAAGGGCAGTTGCAGTCAGAGAGGAGCCCTGAAACCACCCTTCCAGGGGAGAGCAGTTTGGGATGCTGAGAGCTCTAGGGTGCAGCTATGGGAGTTGGGGGTGGCACTGGTATGGAACTGAGAGTCACAGAGAATAAGAAAGTAAAAAGGGGGGCTGGAGGTGTTTGCACATAATCTCGCTGTCTTAAGTCTTGGGGGAGCACCCAGATGGCCCCTGAGCTAGACTGAGCCCGGCGTCGACCACAGATAACCAGTGCATAAACAACCAGGCCTGGCAGCCTGCCCTCAACGTCAGCCTCAGCCTGCTCTGCCGCAGCCCCTCGCCTTTGATGTGTCCGTCTCTGCCATCCCCACATCCTGGCTGGAGGAACAGTTCACCCCAGTTCTCTTCCCACGTTATCCCCGCCCACCTCACTGTGTCACCCACACTTGAGAGCTTCAGCTGCCTCATCCACCACCAGACTGCACCTCATCGACCAGCAAATTTTAGTCTTTTGGGGACTCTCATACATAGCAAAAGCTAATTGAACTTATAGACACTCTCTTTAGAATATGTGCAAAGAACCTATCTCACATTCAAATTCAAGGGGTTCCTGGATCCTTGACACTGATGTCAAGCTGGATGTGACCGGAGTTTGTTGCTTTGGACAGTGTGGTTTGCCTTGCTGCTGCCCTCCTCTCCCCCACACATCTGCCTTAGAGCTGGGTGAGCCCCCCTCAATCCAGTATGCAGCTTGACCCTTCTCCCTGTTGGCTAAGGCTGCACAGCCCATGTCAGCCACCGCTGTGGTTCATTACCCCAACAACTCAACGGCCCCCTGATAGACAGGCCCCTGTACCCCTGTCACCAGCATCTCCTTGCTTCAACCCACCCCTCACAGCAGATCCTGCCCTCTCTCCTCTCCCAGAGCACATACCTGGTGTGCCTGTGAAGAAGGGTCTCAGTGTGTCCCGCATGCTATTCAGCCTCTCCTCCAGCGTCCTCCTCTGTTCCTCCTCCCTTTGCAAGGTCTCCTTTGTTGCCGTGCCGTCGGACTGGCAGGCCTGTAACTGCTCCTTCACAGCCTGGCAATCCTTCTGTTCCACCTGTAGTGCTTCCAGACTCTGGGCCAGCTCCTTCCTGGACCCCTGCAGATCCTGTTCCCTCTGCCCCAGCTGGGAGATCTTCAGGTGGAGCTGCTGCCTCAAACTGCTGTTAGTGGCTTCCAGAACCCTGTTCATGTGCTGGAGCTGCTGAGACACCTGCAGATCTGTTTGGCCATAAAGAGAGATTTGGGTGACATCTTCAGCCGTGCCCTGGGGCCCTGAGACTTCAGTGTTAATCCTTTTACTGCTTTTTGCAACTTTTTGCATCCCAGGCTGAAATATAAGCTCTGACTGCCTAAACCTTAAGGAGGTACAGGATTAGACGAGGTTAATTCAGGAAGACACGGTGCTCTAAAACAGACCTGGTGGAAACCATACCAAAAACTAAGGATGTGGTGACAGTAACTCAGGCCCCCACTGAGAAAGGCAAGTTGTTGGGGAGAGTAAGGGAGAAAGTTCTTTGAGAGAAAGCCGGTTAGGGTAAGTGGAAAGTGGGCGGAGCCATACTCACAGCGCACTCCCAGGGAGACAGCAGCCATCCCTAACAGCAGGCAGGTGAGGAGCAGGCCCAGGAGGTATTTCGAGAAGGCTGAACGGCCTTAGGGAGACAAGTGGCACGCGGGGCAGTGAGTCCCAGGAACGAGCTTAGAAACAGGGGTGAGGGGAGGGGTTCACGGGAAAGAGCCTCCCCCAGAGGACACGGTGCACACATGGTGGTTTTTGTTGGGCAATGAGTAGTTCTGCGAGTAGCGTGGGGAAGACGGTCCAGCATAAGGGCTGGGAATTGTTACTGGTTAGGGACTGAAGGCACTACTTGTTAGGAGGAGGCACCAAATCTCCGACTCAGACTGAGGCAGGGCGTCATGTGAATGAGGACCATCCCAAGTATGGAGTGCGGAGAGGATCTGGGTCGACACTTCGGAAAGATGGGGGTGAAGTGGGCAGACAACAGGGTCACGGGGACCACGGGGACCCCGGGAACCAAACCCGCACACCACGGGGCCCAGCACCCCCCGCGTCTGGCCAAGTGCAGAGCGGGGTGGTGGAGAGGTTCAGCACGTTGCACCGCCCCCAGCCCCGAAGGGCCCGGTGGGGTCTGCGCGGTGGGCGAGGCCTCCAAGCCCGAGACCCCGCCCTGCCCCGCCTGCAGCGCCGGGTGCGGGGAGGGCGTGGCACTCACAGACCAAGAGACGCCTGGCTGCCGATGACGTCACGGGGCTCCAAGGCGCAGTTGGCGGCTGGGACTGAAGACCTGCGCGTGGCGGGCGAGTCCAGTTAGAAATGGGAAGCCGCGGGAAATGCCCCTTCTCCCACTCCACCCACCCACCCGCCGCCTCCCCCGCGCTGCGCCTCGGTGTCTTGTGCTACTGCTCCAGGTCTCCCTTAGCGCTCTGCGGAGTTCCTCAGCTCTCCGGGATTTTCTCGTGTCCCTCCAGAGTCTTGTCCCGCCCCCCACCCCACTGGGATCCTCTCCTTGTCCACCAGAGTCTCCCTTTATCTTTTCCGCTGGGGCTTTCTCCGCCTGCCCCAAACTCTCTCCCAGGAATGTTCTCTCACTTCCCTTTCGCTACCCTCTCTTCCCCTCTCCTCTGACTCCCCATTTTCCATTCGAACTCATCTCCCCAGAGTGCTGCCCTGACCCCTCCCAATCCCTGCCGCTCCACTGGGATCCACCTTACCCCTAGGAGCTTTATTCTTCTCCTGGCTGCCCTTTCTCCAGTGCTCAGGCTTTTTCTTAAGAACTTCCCTCCTTTTCCCAAGGGTATCATCCTCCCAAGAATGCTGTGGACTCCCCAGCTCAAGACACAGCTCTTCTCCCAACGCACACCCCCTGGGCTCTCCGTACCAGCTTTGTCTCCTGGTCCAGAGGAAGCCAGGCTTGACGCTCCCCCTGAGATCGGGGCCACTTGGACATTCTCATAGGTGAGTTCCCCGTCATCGTCAGCCTCTGGATCTGTAGAGGAGAGAAAAGGGACCAAGGTAGAAGTGGGATATGGGGATCTGTGGGGTGGGGTGGGGTCATGAAGGGGATGGGGGTGCAGAATCCAGGAGACCCCTCCTCCACCCTTACCCTGCCCCAAATGGCTGGAGATTCTCTTCTTCAGAGGAGCCTTCACAAACCGCAGGTCCGCGTAGGTGACAGACTCAGCCATGGTCCTGGGGACCTCTGCCCCACCTGTCTCCCCTCCTTCCACTGGCACCAGGGTTCCCTTTCCGCTCTCCCTGCTGTGCCGTCCACACTCTTCAGCTGTGTTTCCTCTCTGACTGTAAGGCTTAGTGCTTGTGCTTTGTCCTGTGACTTCAAGTCACAAAAGAGGAAGATGTGAGCAAGTGTGAGACAGATGGGTTCAGTGAAGCGGATGGCATCCTGGGCAGTGGCCACAGGGGCAGGGGAGGGGGAACTGAGGTCCAGAGCATGGGGATCCGGGCTGGGTCGGCGGAGAGGGGGGGATGGGGTGGCACAGGACCACTACTCAGGCCTGTCTCTGTGTCCTCTCTGTGTTCCACCTTATGTATCCCAGACCCACTTTGGCAGTGCTGGGCTCCAAATGTCCACCCTCTGATTATCTGCCCTGCTCTGCCCAGTGGCTCCTCTCCTGGCTGCCTCTTCCACAGGCTTTCCCTGTGTAGTCAGAGCTCTTTGGTGCCCCACTGACCCCAGAGGATCTCCTCAGTCATTGCTCAGTGGTTGAGGGGGTTCATCTTCCCTGTCAGACTGGGGAGCTGCAGCGTAGAGCCCTAGCTCCTTGTCATCCTGGGGTTTCCAGCAGGTATTGGTTCTCAGAAGAGGGCCTCTGATTTTGTGGGCTCATCTCCCCATCAGTTTAGGGGCTTTCAGGTGGACCCAGCTCTCCCCCTGCCGTTAGGTCCGCAGAGCTTCGGAGGATCCCACACATAGGGAGTCTCACTCCAAAGCCCTTCCTGGGAACTGCAGCCTTTGTAGGATGCAGAGAATTGGGGGCCACAGTGTGTCTCCTGTGTAAACACCCCAGCCTCCTCTTCACAGACTTTCCCTGGCCACTTCTACCCTTGTTGCCCTGCTGATCACTGTGGCCAGTCAGCCCCTTCTGGGTCCTGTTCTGCCCCTGCTGGACTCTTGGCGTCTCCTGTGTCCCAACATCTGAGCTGGATCCAGCAAGCCGAGTCCCAAGAAGCAGAGGCTCTGGGATAGGCCTGGGCTGGGGCTGAGGATGAAGGCAACCCCAACCAGTGCACCTCTGGAAAAGCCTGCAGCACCAACTTCTCCTGTACCCTTGCGGGGGAGGGGGGTGGTCAGGGAGCAGGCAGGCAAAGGAGTTGAGACAGATGAAGAAAGCCTGCAGCCTCTTAGACAACAGGAGCCAGGAAAGCAATGAAGCAGGGGCTGAGTCAGCATGGAGACTCTGGAGCAGCTGAGGCTTTGACATTTTCTTGGTTCGGTTTTGGTTTCTTTCTTACTTTACTAGGAAGAAAGTTCCCAATATTGTCCCTTTACACCCAGCCCCAAGGGAAAAAGGGCGCTCACAGGAGAAGACCAGGGGCCGAGAGGCCTTATCAATGATGAGGGCCTTGCGGACGGAGGAGAGGGAGACGGGAAGAAGAAGGTGGCTGCTGAGCAGCAGTTCACAGGTGTCCCCTGATTCTCTAACCAGGACGTGACCTGGAATGTAACCCCACAGGGGCCTCCTTATAGGGGTGGGAAGAAACTGGGGCAGGACGGGGTAGGAAAAACCACCCCTAGTGGGTGACATCCACCCCCTCAGAAACACAGCCCTGCAGCTGCAGGGAGGAACAGGGAGGAGGAGAAAAAGGGGACCTCACCACATGCTAATTAGTGGGGTGTGGAGGAGGCCCGTGATGGCCTGTGGGCCTGTGGAGAGTTCTGCCTAACAGCACCCAGCCCGCCCCAGACAAAGCGCCCACCCCACAGACGCAGAAGTGTGCATTTGTCACCTGAGGAGTGCCTCGGGGAGACAGGTGTAGGTGCGTGCGTGTGCGAGCTCACCGCCCACAACCCCGGGTCTTTGTGGCCCCTTAGGGAAGCCTGTGCGAGGTGGGCATCCAAGCTGCCCCGAGGATTAAGCACAAAGGATTCTGTGAGCTAAAGGGTGTCTGTGATAGTTGCTATTTTTCTCCACGGCAGGGAATGACTGGTCATTTTCAGAAAAGTCTTAAAAGGTCAGGGGGACAGGTTCTACAAATACTTCCTTTTTTATGGTTCACTGTTTTCTAAGGTGTCCCCGCAGCTGTTAACTGTCCCTGCTTGATTAAAGTTTCCAACAACCCAGTCCCCTCCCCCAGGCACCCAGTCAGATAAGAGACTGCTGTGTGCTGGCGACTCCCTGGGGGCCTCAGAGCCTGTGAGACTTGAGTGGGAGTACAGTGCAGCTGGGGTGAAAGGGGGCGGCCAGGGTACTTGTGCCTGTGGCGGGCAGGGACAGGGGCAGCGTGTGTATAAACCAACTGCAGGAATATGTTAAACTGTAGGTAATGTCCCAGTTTTCAGAACCAAATGCCAGTCAACACGGGTTGGATGCCAGGTAAAATGCCAAAGTCGAGCTTCCAGTATGTGCTCAAGAGAGAATCAATCAGCAGGCAGCCTAGCTTGGCCCTTGGAGAGGCTTCAGAAGGGAGGGTGCCCAGTGGACCCGGCGTTTGCCAAACTGCACAACCATGGTGGCTTGGCCATCTTAGGTAGGCTTGGCCTGATTCCCTCTCCTCTTTAACTCTTTTGGTGATGGTTCTCCATCTCCTTACGACCGTCTGCGTTCCCTTCTGCCCTAGACTGTCTGGTGGCCTTCTTTTGTAGACAGGGATGACAACGGGATCTTTCTCCTTCCCCGTGTGTGTCAGGTGGGGTCTGCGCAATATTGACACTCATTACCTTTCAAAACTGGGCATCAGAAACAGTGCCTGTCACTTCGAGCTGTACCTCACCTGCCCACGTGTCAGGAACACCTGGGGCTTTGAAGAACTGAGGGGTGCCCTGGTCCGTGTGGCTCAGTTGGTCGGAGTGTCATCCTGTAACCAACAGGTTATGGGTTCAGTTCCTGGTCAGGGCACATGCCTAGGTTGTGGGTTTGATCTCAGGTCCCACCACATATGGGAGGCAACCAATCGATGTTGCTCTCACATCAGTGGGTTTTTTTCTCTCTCTCTCTCCCTTCCTCTCTCTCTACAAGCAGTGAAAACAGGAGGCCCTCAGGGAGCTGGAGGGCCAGTGCCATACAGCTTCTCCAGGACAATCATGTCACCTGTGACCCTAGAGAACAAATACCAAAGCCCATTTCTTGCCTTCCCCTGACCTCTGCTGCTTGTCCCAGGGAATGGGTGGTTAAGGTGACAGGGGGAGGGAGCCCAGCTGTGAGAGCATCTGAGGAAAGAATTTGCTCTGTCAGCCCTGGCTGGGTAGCTCAGTGGGTCATTGTGTCGCGGTACACCAAGGTCGTAGGTTCCATGCCCAGTCAGGGCACATACAAGAATCAACCAATAAATGCATGAATAAGTGGAATAACCAATCAGTGTTTCTCTCTCTCTCTCTCTCTCAAGTCAATAAGTAAAATTTATTTTTAAAAAATGGAATTTGCTGGGTTAAGCAAGTCATCTGGATAAACAGGTGAAATGCATCCAACATCAGAAAGTCAAGGAGTCTCCCAATACCCTGAAAGCTAGGCTGCATCTGTCTTTATCACCTGAACCACTGGTTCCAGGAGGCCTGCATCTACAGGTAGGGCGTGGTAGGCAGAATAATGGCCTCCCCAAAATGTTCGCCCTCCAGTCCCCAGAACCTTCGAATTTGTTACTTCACCTGACAAAAAGACAAAAAGTGAATTTGGTTAAATGAAGAACCTTTAGGTGCACAGAGTGTCCCTCTTATCCTGGCATGTCGAGCCTAATCCCATGAGTCTCCTTGAGAGGGAGAAGCTTTCAGAACCACGGTAAGAAACAGCTTTGACCTTGGACGAAGGGGCAGAGAGGTTTGACTTGAGGACTCCATCCAAATTGCTGGCTTTGAAGGCAGAGGAAGGAACCATGAGCCAAGGAATGCAGGCAGCCTGCCGGAAGGGCAGGGAAACGTTTTCTCCTCGAGCCTCCGGAAAGCCCTGCCGACACCTTGAGTTTAGCCCGGCGAGGCCTGCATCAGATTTCTCACCCACAGAACTGGGACGTGAGAAGCTTCTATGTTCCTTTAAGCCACTAAATGTGTAGTAATTTATTATAGCAGCAGTGGACGCGTCTCCTGAACTGTGGAAGAAGTATGGTGGGAAGGAATGAACATGATATTATGGACAAAGAAGCCAGCCCTGGCCACAGTGTGTGACTTTGGGCAAGTCACAAATTTCTATCTAAAAGATGGGATTTTCTCAACAATACCTGACATAAGTCAAGGATATGATTGGTAGAGATATAGTAGGTGTAGATAGGTATAGATTTTAGCAAAAGCATCATTAAAAGTCTCAGTAGCTTCACAGTCAAGAAGGAGAACCAGGAGCCATCTCCTAGCACTAAGAAGGAGAGTCACATCCCCTTGATCACAGGGACCAAAGAGGGCCAGTAGGCAGGTCTCCAGTGACTTGCCCCAGACTTCTCTTTGGTCCTGGTTTTTTTTTTTTTTTTTTTTTAAGATTTTATTTATTTCTTTTTAGTGAGGGGGGATGAGAGGGAGAGAAACATCAATGTGTGGTTGCCTCTCACGTGGCCCCCACTGGGGACCTTGCCCACAACCCAGGCGTGTGCCCTGACTGGGAATCGAACCAGCAACCCTTTGATTTGCAGCCTGTGCTCAGTCCACTGAGCTACACCAGCCAGGGCTGGTCCTGTCTTAAATGGTGACACCAAAAGCACATTCATAGATGCTGATGGCACAAAGCTATTTTAAAAAAACAAAAAATGAAATACACCGAAAGGGAAACTTAAGATTCAGACATTGAGGCAGGGCAAAAATGATGGTCTGAAAGGCAAATAATAGCAGCTAGCATTTATTGAAATGAAATTTTGGGCTTTGGCTGGTGTAGCTCAGTGGATCAAGCACTGGCCTGCGAACCGGGAGGTCACCAGTTTAATTCCCAGTCAGGGCACATGCCTGGGTTGCAGGCCAAGTCCCCAGTGGGGGTCATGTGAGAGGCGGCCACACATTGATGCTTCTCTCCCTTTCTCCCTCCCTTCCCCTCTGTCTAAAAATAAATAAAGTCTTTTTAAATAAATGAAATTTTGGGTTCAAAAGTAAACAGAAGCATGGGGTGGAGATAGTTTATACACAGAAGTTTGAGGGGAGAGGCAGTCATCGAGCATGTTGGAGCCCAACCCACTTACTGTACGAATTACGAAAGTGGGCTCAGTAAGCTGTAAGTTAACTATGAACTAACAACCTCCCTAGGAGGGCTCGTGACGAACGGCTGTCCCTTAGGACTACAACACTTTTACTAAACATGTCACCTCCAAAATTCTATTTTGTGGCCCCCAACCCCTCTGACCTCGGCTGATTGGGTAAATGACTCAAGTCAGTGGCCTGTGGGGTGGCCTGGCCTGGAAATTGGGAATTATCAAGTTTTCGGTGTCAGCAGTTTAAATGGGAGAATATGGAAGCGACCACTCCGTTTGCAATGGGAGCAGAAGTGGAAAGGTTGAGTAGAGTGGACATCTGTGTGCGGAGCAGAGTCGTCCGTACTCAGCAGTTGCTCTGGCCCCTCCTGCCTCACGTGCGCACCACCCTGGCCAGCGTCACTGACCCTGATTATCGTGAGGAGCCAGGGCGGCTCGGCATAGTGAGAGCAGGCCAGACGTAGCTGTGTGCCAGGGGTCTGTAGGTGCCTCTCAGCGCTCCCTGCCCAGTCACACTCTACCCACAGATGGGCAACTGCAGCCACCACAGCCTGAAAGGGGCGCAGTAATGAGGGCACAGGAAATGTAACTCTGGGTTACCCACAGGCGAGACACCTATACCGGCATCTCTCAGGTGGAGATGGTAGAGAAAGAAAATTAATCTCAGCGGACCAGCCACAGCAGTGGGGATTGCAGCTTGTCTCACTGATCCTCCCAGTATATAAGGTTTTGCTCCTCTTCTCCCTCCTCCCCCTCTTTTAAGAAATTGTGACCTTAAAGAAGCAGTAACAGCCTAGACTCGATGAGAGACCTGGGTGGGTCTGAGCAGTGCAGGAGCACTCAGTGTCCCCACCACCCCCATCTCCTCAGGCCTTACCAGTTGGCACATATCAGCCAGACTTCCATCCACCAGCCCCTTGGCCTGCAGCTTTTCTTTGGCAACTGGCTGGACCCCAACATACAGTCACCAGAGGCAGCCTCCCCCAGAGCAGCTCTCAACAACTGAGAACCAGTATAAACACCAGTACCTCAGCCCCGGGAGGGAGGAGGTTGAGAAGCTCTGAGGGTACATCATACGCTGACAGCTTTGAGCCCCAGTTTTCCACCGTGAATGTAAAGTGCTCTCCCATTATTGTGTTAAATTGCACGTCCCTGACTGAGTTTGAACATATTTTCATGTTTGTTAGCCAGTTGGATTTGTTCTTCTGTTGCTACTAGATCCTTAGTACGTATTTTTCTCCCCCAACAATGTTATTTTGAAACACTTCAAGCCTAAAGGAAAATCGAAAGGATGACAATGATTATTTGTATGTCCTTCATCTAGTGTCAGTCAAGGCTCAGTCAAGCTGTTCTCACCACATAAAAGAAATGATACTTAGGTGACATCATAGAGGTGTTAGCTCTATTGTGGTAATCATACTGCATATATAAATATATCAAATCAACACATTGTACACTTCAAACTTACATGGTGTTGTGTATCAATTATATCTCAGTAATAAAGGGCTGGATCAGAGAAGCAGACCATTAGGACATGCATATACATATACATACACACATTCTTTTTTCAATTAAGAGATTTGTTACAGGGAATTGCTCTTACACAATTATGCAATTGGAAGAGCTGGTGTAACAATCTGAAAGGCTGCTGTCTGCTTCTAATGCTGTGGCTTGGAGTCAGCAGGGCAGGGAGTCAAGAAAGGGAAAGCAGATGGCAAGTGGGGGAGTGGGGATGAGGCAGAACCCGTTCTGGTACCACAGACAGTCTCACTGCCTCCAAGTCTGAGGATGCGAATGTCCTGCAAGAGAAACTGCCTTTGCCCCCGAGGCTCCACCACTCCACTGGAATGCAAGCCCTACTACTGCACAGTCCTAGCACACAGTAGGCGCTCAGGACACCTGGTTGTTCCAGGACCATTTATTATGTTAGCCTTCCTTTCCCCAGTGAGTTGAATTGCCATGTTCTCATCTATACAAATACCTAGTTTTGGCCCTGGCTGGTGTGGCTCAGCGGATTGAGCTCGGGCCTGCAAACCAAAAGATAGTGGTTCGATTCCCAGTCAGGGCATGTGCCTGGGTTGCAGGCCAGTTCCCAGCAGGGGACACATGAGAAGCAACCATACATTGATATTTCTCCTTCTCTTCCCCTCTAAAGATAAATAAATAAAACCTTTAAAAAAAAACAAAAAACAAATACCTATCAACTTTTTTCCCTTTACCTACTGATTTGACCACCTGGCCTTATTGTACATTCTGATATTTGGAAAGGCAAATTTATCTATTTTTTCACTTAAAATATTTTTTCTGGACTATTTTTTTCAGATATTAATTGGAATTATTTTGTCTGATGCATACTTTACTTTTTGAAGAATTGAATTTTTTATATTTTCCCATCCAAGGAAAATATAAAAGGTTGATTTTCTGTTTGTCCCAATCTAGCTTTATGTCTTTTAATAATATTGTGTAACTTTGTATGAGTACTGTGTGTTTCTTGATTAAATTTACACACTATAAAACTTCTAAGTCATAGGCATGTAATGTACAACATGGTGACTATAGTTGCTAATACTGTAGTGTATATTTGTTTTTTTTAAGATTTTATTTATTTTTTTAAAGATTATATTTATTTGTTTTTAGAGAAGGGGAAGGAGAGAAACATCAATGTGTGGTTGCCACTCACGTGGCCCCCAATGGGGGCCCTGGCCTGTAACCCAGGCACGTGCCCTGACTGGGAATCAAACTACTGACCCTTTGGTTCACAGGCCTGTGCTCAATCCACTGAGCCACATCAGCCAGGGAACTGTACTGTATATATGAACATTGCTAAAAGAGTAGATCTTAAAAGTTCCCATCACGAGGAAAAAAAATGTGTAACTACTTGTGGTGATGGATGTTAACTAGACTTATTGTGGTGATTATTTTGTAATACATAAAAATGTTGAATCATGTTATACACCTGAAATGAATGTAATGTTATATGTCAATTATATCTTAATTCATTTATTTACTTATTTTTAGATAGAGGGGGAGGGAAGGAGAAAGAGAGAGAGAGAAACTTCACTGTGTGGTTGCCTCTCGCACGCCCCCAACTGGGGACCTGGCCTGCAACCCAGGCCTGTGCCCCGACTGGGAGTCAAACCAGTGACTGCTTGGTTCGCAAGCCCGCACTCAATCCACTCAGCTATCCCAGCCAGGGCTATATCTCAATTTTTTAAATTTTACAACTATAATATAGTGATTACGAGGATAGTCTCAGTGCCAAACTGCCAGGATTCCAATACCAACTCTTATCACTTTACCAGCTAGTGATCTGGGGTAAATCACTTAATCTTTCTGTTCCTGTGTTCACTTCTGTAGAGTAAGAATAATGATAGTTCATGGCTGGTGTGGCTCAGTGGATTGAACACCAGCCTGTGAACCAAAAGTTCACAGGTTCAATTCCCAGTCAGGGCACAGGTGTGGGTTGTGGGCCTGTGGGGATTCCTGAGAGGCGACCACACATTGATGTTTCTCTCCCTCTCTCTAAAAATAAATAAATAAAATATTAAAAAAAATAATAATGATAGGCTCTGGCCGCTGTGGCTCAGTGGATTGAGTGAACTAGAGGACCACGGTTCGATTCCCAGTCAGGGCACATGCCTGGGTTGCAGGCCAGTTCCCAGCAGGGGACGCATGAGAGGCAACCACACATTGGTGTTTCTTTCCCTCTCTCCTTCCCTTACCGTCAAGATAAATAAATAAAATCTTTTTTTAAAAAAAGAATAATGATAGTACTCTATCTCAAGAGATAGGATTGCAAGGATTGATTGAATTAATACAAAGTGCTTACAATTGTTTATGGCATCATGGTGACTATACTTGTTATTTTCCTAAGACTTTATAATTCTGTAACTGTAAATGGAATATTTTTCTGATTTTCAATTTGAGATGCTTTTGTTAGAGTAGGAAAAAACAGTTTATATTTATCTTGTATCCCATCAACTTTCCAAATTATAATTTTTACTAGATTTTTCACCAGAGATTTTTTTCCTATAGTCTTTTAAATTTTCTGAGAGTACAATCATATCAGCAAAAATGGTATTATAAGTTTTTCAGATGATCATAACAATTTATTTTCCTGTCTTACTGCATTTAGTAAAACTTCCAAGATATGTTAAATAATAAGGATGATAGTCATCTGTGTCTAAATTTTTTAAAACATTTTTAAATCTTTTTTAAAAAGATTTTATTTATTTATTTATTTTTAGAGAGAGGAAGAGGAACATCAATGTGCGGTTGCCTCTCATGTGGCCCCCACTGGGCACCTGGCTCGCAACCCAGGCATGTGCCCTGACTGGGAATTGAACCTGCAACCTTTTGGATCACAGCCCGCACTCAATCCACGGAGCTACACCAGCGAGGTTAGAAACATTTTTTTAATTCATTTTTAGAGAGAGGGAAAGGGAGCTAGAAAGAGGGGGTGAGAAACATTGATGTGAGAGAGAAACATCGATAGGTCGCCTCTCCTATACCGCCCCAACCAGGGACGGGACCCCCAGCCCAGGCCGGCACCCTGACCAGCAGCCACACCAGTCAGGGCTCTGTCTACATTTTTACTTTAATTTAGGTTTTTTTAGTGTTTTACCACTGAAAACAATATGTACTGTTAGGTTTTAGTAAAATGTCTTCATCATATATAAGCAGTTTTCCTCTTCTCAGAGTTTTTGGTAGGAGTGGTGTGCTGCTCTGTGTATTATGTGTGTGAGCTTTCCTATATTCTTAACCAGTTTAAATGGTATACAAGTTATTATTATGTAAGGTTAGGCAAACTCCACTGTGGTGCCGTTCGAATGCAGTCTTTTCAAAAAGTAGACCTTTAATCATATTTCTTTTCTAATCTTTTCTAGGATAAGTTGAACTCTTCAAGCTTTCCTAGTTCTCTTGGGGCAATTTTGGTAATTTATGTTTTTCCTGAAATGTAACCATTTCTTCTAAAATTTCAAATGAGTTGATGAGAAATTTTAAATTGCACTTTTTTATAATTGTTTTCTCTCCTCTATCTGTCACGATGTTTTTTTTCTTATAACTAATTTTGTCTGTTTTTCTTTTAATCTTGTCTGTTTTTAATTCTTTTTCCCCCTTACTGGGCTTGCACGAAGTTTACTCTATTAGCCCTTTTAAGAACATTTTTTACACCCGCTCTTTAATATTTTCATTTGTGTTCCATATCGTTCGTGTCAGTTTTTGTTATGTCCTGATTACTTTTGGTTTCTTTTCTTGTTCTTTTTACAATTTATTGAAATAAGTACTGCCTTTTTTTTTCCAACTTGCTATCTTTGTGGCATTTCAGAGATGTAGGTAGTGTCATTGAGACGGTACCTGGTATTACATTGTTTCTTCATTCAGCACTTAAATTTTGTGAACATGATCATCTTGTTCTTTTTAAAACCAGCTTTCCTTTATTATAATTTACATGCAGTAAATCTTACCAAGTTTAAGTAGACAGTCCTGTGAGTTCTGATGAAGATATTCAGTCATCTAACCACCACCGCAATCAAGACACTGAAAACTCCCCACACTGCTAAAGTCCCTCTTACCTCTTTCCAACCAATGCTCACACCACTTGCAGCCTGTAACTTCTGCCCTGGTTGGCCGTCTGTGTTATCTCTGCTCTCTGTTTGACTGGTACACATTCCCCACACCTTTATTTTGACTCTTTCTTTATTACTTTGCTTTAAGTGTGTTTCTTTGAAGTAATATGGACCAGAATTTGATTTATAACAAAACCCAACAAAATTTAATGGAAGAATTCAGTCTGCTCACGTTTACTGTGATGAGTGATATATTTGATTATTTCCATCTTACTTGGTTTTAGATTTTTCAACATTGTTGCAAGCTCTTCTTTTTCTTTTCAGGATTGAATGAGCAGCCATTCAACCCATTCTCCCCCTCGTCAATTTGGAGTTTGCCATTCTGTTAATAGTTAGTGGTCCCTGGCCCTGTTCTCTTAAATAGACACACGTGACTCTTTCACCCTGTTTCACAGAACAACTATTTCCATCATACTCTACCTATCTGCTACTTTCTCCCCACCCCCCCATGCATGTGGTCTTTAGATTGCTTTCACTGCCCTTGACCCCACCCCTCCCGGCCTCCCTGTCTTTGACCCTGGAACACTCACCTTCCCCTTGTACCCACCAGCTGATTCCAGAGTTTTATTGAAATAATTTAATACTTATTAGAGTTTCCCTTTCATTGTGTTCCATCTGTTCCAAGGGTCCTTATTTAGCATTCATATCACATGGTATAAATATATAGAACTATAAATATATAGAAAAAAGTAGATCATGGTTCGTTGCTCCCCACTGCTTTCTTTCCTCTTCATCTTCCCCTATCTTGAAGTCCCTGTTCTTGAACTCCTTTGTTGTTTCACTAGAGTCTTTAAAAGTATGGCTCAGATAAGATACTTGATGATTTTTGCAAATCTTTAATATCTTTCTTTCCTCCTTGGCTGGGTCTGGGGTAACAGGCTTTTTCTGTTAGTAACTCACATTCAGTTTTGCAATCTTTTAACTTCCAAGGTAGCAGATAAAAAGCAAGAACTTTCTTTCTGCTTGAAAATGTGCTAAGATTTCCCATACCCATAGAGCTCAGGAAAAGTTCGCTCAGGGACATTTAATCTGTTACTGAATTATGACTTCTCCTTTCCTGTTCCTTGTTCTCTGGGAACTCAAGAGAAATCACAGTCTCTTGGGCCTGTTCCAATCACCCGTCTTTAACCGACATGACTTGCATCTCTGTATTTTTGTTACATTTACAGGTATGTTGTCTTTAATTTTCTAGACCTATTTTTGGGGTTTTAGCCATGACATCTTCTCCTTTTATTTATCCAGGGAAAGTTTTGGTTCTGATACCATCATTTCTGGTTCAGTTCCATCTTTTGTGTTTGAGCTTCACACCTTTCTCAGGGGTTTACCTGTCTCCTCCTGCAGGTCTCTCTGCCCTCTGGTTTGTCTGCGTTTCCCAGCCTCAAGCAAGAGCTGAGAAATTCAGTCCTCCCATTAGTTTTTTGGAGAGTAGGGGAGACTCAGCAAAGCCATTCATTGTTCCTGGGAAGCAGGCTGCTTTGGGACCTGCTGCCTTGCTCTTGGCTCTGAGGCTCTTCTCCAGAAAATTTGTCTTCAAATTCTCTGCTAAGAGCTCAGCAGAGCCCACTTCAAGTTCCTCACCTGTGACCGAGAGGTATCAGAGGGGGTGTGGAAAGGGAGGTCTTCATAAGGCTGCTGTATGCACTGAATCCCCTTGCTCTGAGCAGTCTTAGCATTATTGGCAGATAAAGTGATAATCTCCAAAAGACTTAAAAACAGAAGCTATTATTAGGAAGTCAGAACTCCAAGTTGCAAGAGATTGAAAATCTTAGACTGACTTAAGCAGTAAAGGAATGTATTGGCTTCCATAAACGAAAAGTTCAGGAAGCAGAGCTAGCTCTGGGCTTCCAAATGAAGTCATTAAGACTCGGTCTTGCGCCATGTCCCAGCTCTGTTACCTTTCTTGTAGCCAAAACCAGCTTGAAAGTTTAGACTCATCTCAACAGAGGACAGAGTAAGGCCAAAGGTGGAGGGGCTTTGGTTGGATGGCTTGGGGTGGCTTTTGAGGCACCCCGCCCCTGCAATTCCTATCATTGAACATTTGACCATCCCAGGGACCCTTCTTCTTTGGGCCTTGGGCTCATCCCTATGTGCCCAGCTGGGATCACAGGAAGAGGAAGAAAGTTGGGGCCCCACAGGGCCCAAGGAGCTTCCAATAAGAACCTGCTTCCCAGCAGTTTGCTTGGGACAGGGCCCTCCTTCTGGCTGGAATAAAATGCAAGGGAGGCCATAAGGGAAGCACCTGGAGCTGTGAAAGGGGAGAGAACTCCCAGGTATTTGGCAAGGTGAGACAAAGCCGGCTGGAGAGATGTGGCAAGGGGACCCTCAGAAGGTGTTTGAAGTGCATCCGGCTGCCCCAACTTACTTCCCAAGATGTAGGGGTCAGTTAGGAAGTTGGCATAGACCTGGAGTTAAGTCGTGAGGGCCTAGGTTAGGTCATGAGCCTCACTGATCTACAAGGTAAGAAAAATCAAGCGGTTGCAGGGGAGAGAAAAGACAGAGGATCCAGGCTTCGCAGACGAAGGGAAACAAAGTTCAAATCATATCCAGCTCCGCACGCAGTGAGTCCACTGTTCTATGAACGCGGGAGCGGTTGCTACTCCAGGAGCGACAGTGCCGGGCTCAGCAACCGTCCCAGGTTAGACTCCAGGAGGGGGCTCGACTCCAGCCCCCCACTCCCACCCCACACACACACCCGCGCCTGGGGACTTCATCTCCCAGTATGTAGCAGACCCAGCAGCTGTAAGCCTGCACAGAGGTGGCGGCGAGGCTGTGTCACGCCACGCGGGGGCGCTTGCGGCTTGGTCCTGAGCTGGCCAAGGCCTTGGGTGCTGCGGATCTGAGCGGGGTCGTCTGAAGCCTCGGCTTCGATTCATGTCGGGTCACAAGTTGGGTGGTGGAACCCCAACCCCCCACCCCTCCAGGATCAAGGCCTCAGTTCCCCCCGGCCGCAGCCACGTTGTGCGGTCTTCAGCACAGCAGCCTTCAGAACCCCACATCCCGCTTGTCAGCGGTTCCCCACATCCGGTCCCCGCCCCCAAAGCCATCTTCCCTCCTACACAGTCCCAGCTGCCTGCTCTTAACGGCAGCCAAGGCCTCTTCTGGGAAGCACAGGTTGGGGTCCTCAGGTCCAGGAACCCCAAGGCATTTGGGTTGCAAGAGCATCCAACCTTTTGGTGCCTCTGGGCCACACTGGAAGAAGAGTCGTCTTGGTTCACACATTACATGCATTGCAACATGTAATCACACACACACAAAAAAATCTCATAATGTTTTAAGTAAATTTACAGTTTTATGTTGTGCCACATTTATAGCCATCCTGAGATGCATACAGCCTGTGGGTCACAGGTTGGACACCCCTGATTAGTGTGTGTGTGTGTGTGTGTGTGTGTGTGTGTGCGCGCACAGCAGAAAAGGTCCCCCTTTTTATTGGGACCACCAGGCAGGTCTTAGGCACATGGTTCTGAGACCTTTGAAAGAAAAAGCCTGAGCTTCCCCTTTCTTCTGCCCCTCAGACCCTCAGGTCTGGCAAGGCGGACCTGCATCTCCCTATGGGAAGATGGCCTAGACCACGGGTTGTGGGGGGCACAGCACGGTTGTACAGTCCATGGGGAGAGTAGGTCAGTGGCTGGTGAGCTTGCCGACTCCAGGTGATGGGAGTGGGGTGGCTGTGAGTGTAGGTTCTGGGGGTGTTCTAGCAGCAGCGCCAGCATCCGAAGAGCTGGGCTCTGGCCCCCACTCTGGGACCCACCCCTGCCTTCCCTGAGGCAGTGGGCGGTGCTCCGTGTGGGCAGCAAAGCTCACAATCCCACCATGTAGGATCTATTGCAGGTCTGTGGTCCGCTAGGTAAAATCCAAACACTTTTGGGGAAGTTTTATTTTAAAACTTGGGGACACGACAGAGGCAGCAGGATGGAGACTGCTATTCTCCTGCCACTGTTCTCAAATCAGAAGCCAGGCTTGGGTTCCTCAGGTTGCTGGTTCCAGGCCCCCTGCAGCTTGTGGCCTCCCCAGGGGTGTATCCACCAAGGTCCTCTTAGGCTCTTCCCCCTCCCCCACTGCCCACTGCCTGTGTTGGAGGAGACACAGAGGTGTCAGGGGTGCACTGCAAGAGAGCAATAGAAGGGGGATCTGGTAAAACTCCAGAAGGAGGAGGAAGTGAGAACCTGGGAGTTTGGGGACTGGGAAGAATCTATAGAAAAAGAGGTGGGGAGGGGGCCACTGCCTCTGTTCTCTCCATCCTCAAGAAACTAGGGGCCTGCTTTTCCCCGAGATATCTCCCTCACGGGTCATTACATCCCCAGGCCTAGGAGGTGTGGGGAACATCACCTCGGGTGACTAGGCAATGGCTGACTGTCTTTGGGGTTTTTTTGGGAAATAGTCATGCCCTGGACAGACAGCAGTTACCCCTGCAACAGAGGAGGCTGCAGAATTGCGTGCCTCGCTGTGCCGGGCCCTCCAGCTCAGCTGGGTGCAGTCTGGCTGTTGGCGTAGGCCTGGTCTGGGAAGGAAGCCCGGCCTCTGCGGGTCTGGGCACACACTGAGGCGTAGAGCTCCGACTCCAGGCCTGAGGTCTGGGGCTTTGTCTCAGAGTCCAGCACCACCTCTGAGTACTTGATGGGCGTTCCAGGGCTCGGGATTCGGCCCTGAGGAGGCCGCAGCTGCAGGCTGGTATAGCACATCACTTCCTCTGCAGCCTGGAGATGCAAGGCTGTTAGGAATGCACTGGACCCTTGAAAAAGCACCCCTCTTCCTTCCCTCCCCTCTTACTCAACCACAACTAACTCACCCTGGTGGGGCCTCCCTGCGTTGGAGCCTGCTGGTCTTGCCCTGGTTCTTGAGACAGCCGTCCTGGGACAGGTAACAGGAATCTGGTCACTTCTTGTTCTTCCTCCTGCAGCCCTTCATCCCACCCACCCAGGTCCTGGCCTCTGCACCCCTCCCCTCTGCCATGTTCCTACCTGTCTGCAGATAATGTAGGTTCCCATAGAGGGGAACCTCTTCCACAGACCCTCCGGAACTGCAACACAAGGTTAAGGGGGTTAATGGGGACTTCTTGGTAAGGAGAAAACCTCACTTATACCATTTCTGTTTCCCCCCCACTCACTGTCCCTCTCTTGGATGGCTCCTGCTCCGGCCACTTGTCCATCGGGTCAAGTGTACAGCCAGTGAGATGAGAAGCATCAGCGTCACAACCCCTAAGAGGGCCCACAATCCCCAGGCCTCGGAAAAGAAGGGAATTCCTGTGGATGTGAGAGGATGGGGGGCGCGAGTTACTGCCCAGCCCAACCCCGCAGATCCCAGCAGAGGGGACATGGGGCCACATGACCCCTCCCCCCGCCCTTGCCCCTGCCCCGCCCCGCCCAGCTTACCGGGTGCTAGCGTGGAGTTGTTACCTATGCTCATGACTGCTGACGCGGGCACCAAGTCTGCAGGCGCCTTGCCTGGAGCCTAGGTGTAAGCCTGGCTTATGGCCTGACAGCTGCAGCAGCCCCCTCTTACTCCCACCCCTCCCTGGGCCTGGCCCCCATAGCTCATCATCCCCAATACTGCTGATGGCAAAGTCACTGGTTTCCGGGGAGGAAGGGGGAGGGGAAGGATGAGTGTAAGAACAGACACCACCCAGCGCCTGCACCTGCGCCACCCAGCAGCAGCTCCTGAACTTCCGCACTCCCCTCTACCTTCTGCCCCCCCCCTTTAGCCCTGTACCCCCTTTGGCCAGAGAAGAGAGAGGCAGGCCTGTGCCACTGTGTAGGTGAGCCCGTGAAGACTCCGCGGGAGGCAGAAGTGGCACGAGGCAGGACCCACGAGACAAGGAAACGGGGCTTTATGTTAGAGATACACCTACACCACAGGATGCCTGACTTCCCTCTCCCACTCTGAGTCTCATGAAAGAGAATGTGTATTCTCAATAAGCATGCTAGAAAGCGGAAGGGGCTGGGAGGGCTCTGGGTATGCACCAGCTCACCACCCGCTAAGGCCGATCCAAGGTGTGTTAGGATGTGTTAGGATGACCATTGCCATTGTTACTGCTATAGAGAAAGCTGGATTCCCTTCCCAACGCACTGCACCCAAACTCTGTCTAAGATCTAACAATCTCAGAAGTTTCTGGATTGAAGAAACCCCTGCCCCTGTCCTGCGCTGGGAAAGTGAGCCCTGTCTCTGCACTTGCTCAGTCCAAGAGTGGAGCCCTGCCCTCCCCTGCCCTGTCCTGCCCAGAGACAGCCCAGTGCGTGAGAGGCTCTTCGTGTGGAAAGAGGGAATTTAAGTTCCAAATTTAACCTTTACACCAGAGGCCAGAGATATGCTTTGTCTGGCCTATACGATGTTTTTTAGAACTTTAAAATCATTGCAGTGGTGTGCCAAGGATGGGATTGGTGGAAGAGGTCCTGACCCTCCCATTGCAGGCAATAAAAGGGTATCACCTGTAGAAAAATTTTTAAATAAAACCAACTAAAAATCAGTCTCCTTTTTATTACCACAATGTTCTAGCAATTCTAAAAAATGTCAGTTTAGGCCCGGCTGGTGTGGCTCAGTGCATTGAGTGCTGGGCTGTGAAACAAAGGGCTGCTGGTTCCATTCCCAGTAGGGGGCTTTGTGAGAGGTAACCAATCAATGTATCTCTTGCACATTGATCCTTCTCTCCCTCTCTTTTTCCTTCTCTTCCCCTCTCTCTAAAAATAAGTAAAATCTCTAAAAAGTTTTTAATGTCATTTATCAAGTATCCCTCTCTGAAAAATCTTTTGTAGATGAAGTTCTGAATTGTTGCAGTTACTGATGAGCTTTAATAATATACAAACTTCAAATTAGCACATTGATATTACTTATCCTTTAGAAAACATTGTAATATACATGGAAATTGATCTGGAGAACTCCCAGTTAGTTAGACAATTGGCCCCCCAATATCAACAGATTCATCTATGTGTGTTTACATCTAGAATTAGCTCTTAACAGTTTGGAGTTTTCAAGTTCGCTTTGCACAGGTTTGTAATAAACAATGATAGCACAGCGATTGTAAGGTCAAAAACATTGAACTTGAATTACTTTCCTTATGTCATTTCTGGATTTTTATTGTAAACTGGAATTTTTATGAATCTTTGCCAAACATCCTTTCGGTCCAGGGAATGAATGAATCCAAAACCCAGGAACATGCCCTGACCAAGGATCGAACCAGCAACCTTTTGCTTTGCAGGATGTCACCCAACCAACTCAACCACACTGGTCAGGCCTTAACCCCCTGAATTTCTGACCCTTACTGTTAGTTTCTTTTTTTGGCCCTTATTTGTTTCATTTCCTAATTATCACTGAAAATAATTTTGTCCCACAGGAGAATTTTTTTTTTAATGATTAACTCAGCTGTCAAATATTCTAAGTATCCCTTGTCAACATTTAAAAACAGAGATTTCCTATTTTTAAAAATTCCAATTTGTTGATTTTTTTTTTGGAAAAAAAATCAGAATACCTGGCACCAGTGGGCCCAAATTTCCTAAAGGCAACATCAGCTGGGGGCCATTTATCATTTTACACCCGGCCTGAACCACTTATTTCCATTGCCCACACTGACTGGCTTGGAGCCAAGATTCCAGCGACAGCGAGGGGCGACTCCCCGGGGTGCGGGTGTCTCCGTAGGGCTCCCCTTTCCTTTCTGGAAAGACAAGAATATACACTTTAAAATTTTTTTTAAAGATTTTATTTATTCATTTTTAGAGAGAGGTGAAGAGAAGGAGCGTGAGAGGGAGAGGATTGCCAACGTGTGGTTGCCTCTCGTACACCCTGTACCAGGGACTTGTCCCAGGGACCTGGCCTGCAATCCGGAGATGTTCCCTGACTGGGAATCAAACTGGTGATCCATTGGTTTGTAGCCCACGCTCAATCCATTGAGCTACACCAGCCAGGGTTCATTCATTTCTTTAACACATAAATACTTCATTCATTTGATACACATGGACCAATTGCTTGCTTATGTGCCAAGCTCTGGAGATACAAATGTGAGTGGGGAAATGGTTTCTTTCCTCGAAGAGCTCTTGGTCTTAATTAGGAAGGCCACGCGGCGTATCCAAGACAGTTATGAAAGACAGTGCGGAGCAGAGGGAGAGTACTGAAGTCTGCCTGGAGAGGTCTTGGAAGGCAAAAAGGGGGAAGGCCCGGGGGTGGGGTGATGTGAGATGGATGATACAGAGCCAGGGAATGGTTCCAGTCTCCACTTTGCCTCTTACCTGATTAACAACACAACCTTCCTGAATCTGAGTTTCCTAATTTTAAAACAAAGCTTAATTATATTTACCTGTTGGTTTGTTTTGAAAACATTTATTTCATTTGACAAGGATTCGTTGAGTGCTTGCCGGCACCAGGTGCTGTGCTAGGCTATAGGAATAAAACAGTAATGGAAAAGATATATGGTTTCCGCTTCCATGGCATTTACAGTCTAGTGGTAATTAACTAATTGACTTTTTAAAAAATTATTTATTGATTTTAGAGAGAGGGAGAGGTAGGCAGAGAGGGATAAACATTGATTTGTTGTCCCACTTATTTATGCATTCATTGGTTGATTCTTATACCTGCCCTGACTGGGGATCAAACGTGTAACCTTGGTGTATCAGGATGATGCTCCAACCAACTGAGCACCCAGCCAGGGTACTAATGAACTTATAATGAATTAAAAATGGATTTTTCCAGTTTTATTGAGATATAATTGACACAATGGCGGGTTGAAGAATATACAATAGCTATATTAGTGAATCAATAGGAAATTAACGATTCTGAATGAAGGAAACACTAGGAGCTCAGATCTGAAAGTTGTGTAGTCGTTAAGTGCAAGAAGAGGGAATGGTAGCGGAAATCACTAGCTTACAATCGACACGAAAGAGAATTAAGATATAAACTCAAGACTGATCTCCTAACTCCATAAAATACAGCCGCGCTGAGAATGAGCCCCGTGTGGTTGGTGCGCGTAAAGGCGCACTGCCTGTGTAACTATTCAGAGTTGACGGACGACACCCCCAGCCACACTCCGCTCAGCTTCCCCGCCTGAGCGGGAAGGCCTCTTGGCGGGTTTGACAGTGAGAAGCGGGGAAGGTCTACGCGCATGCGCACGTGGCACTCTCTGCCGGTGGTCCGGGGACTTTCCCCTAGGCGCAAATAAGGAACTGAGTCCTCCGGTTGTAGCCTAGGAAACAGGCCTTCAGTACGGACTGTAGCTGTAATGTCAGTAGCGATAGTATTTATACATCCATCAGAAAACTTATCTTTTGTTTAGGGTGAGAAAGTTTGTGGTTTGAAAAATAAAGGTTACTTCCTAGCAAATCTCTTAAGACTTGTGGAGGTATTCCAGCTAATATAGAATAAGAAATAAGCTAATTTCGGAAAGCTGGGCCAATGCCCCTATGCAAATAATATATGGCCCACCCACTCGCTGAGGTGGGCGTGGTTTTCTGGGGACAACTGTGGAGAGGCCGGCGCGCGTGCGCAGGCGCATTGGGGCGCTCAGTGGACTCTGGCGGCCCCGGGGCCCTTAGTTTGTCCCCTGCGATGGCGAGCGCAGTCTCACTTGCTGCTGTGCTGGGTCTGCTACTTGTGTCTGCGCTGCCCGCGGTCCTCGGGGACCGCTCCAGCCCTGACCTCCGGGCATACCCAGGTACCAACGAGGGCTGCTGGAGGGAGGCTGGGACTGCCCACGGGTCCCAGGTCGCAGCTCAATTGACCCTCCTCTGCCCTCCTCCGCAGGGGACCCCTCCCAGATCGGCCCTAGGGCCACGGAACCCCGGCGGCGGCCACCGCCCAAGGGCCAACACGAGCGGGCCCAGGCCAGGGCGTTGCCTTTGGGGGCGCTGTACACCGCGGCTGTCGTGGCTTTTGTGCTGTACAAGTGTTTGCAGGTGCGGGAAGTCAAGGGGTGTGGATGCCCCGGGCCTAAATTTCCCATGGGGGCATTATGGTACCAAGAACAGGAGGTATCTTCCGGTCAGTCTATAAAATGTACAGTAGTTCCTTGCCTTTCCAACATGATTGGGTTATTTTGAGTTTCCAGCGAGGTGATGGATGTGAAGGGCGTGGGGCAAATTGTAGATAGTGAACATCACATCTAGCCCTCCTAACAGTCCACTGACGAGATTGCCACTTGCTCAAGGTCACTAAGAGCTAGTAACTGGTGGAGTTTGGATTTGAACCCAGCCAGTGTCCATAAGTATAAAAGTGGGGTGCCTGGTGAGATTCCAATTTCGGCACAAGAGGTTGATTACTGTACACAAGGTACCAAGCAGGCTCATGTTCTTGGGAAGGAGGCCCTGAAATATTAACTGATAGTACATTTTGGTGGATTAGAACTGTTGAAATGGAAAGTGGTACCTACTAGGGCTGCATCTTCAGCCCTGGCCCTGTCACTCAATTGCACTGGGAAAGAGGCCTGAACCAATTTGGAGATTATGTAAAACTGGGATAGCTGAGCACTTGACAAGCTAGGATAAAGGACTGAATTTAACGAAATTTAACTAGGAGAGATTCTATTCTTGGATCCAAGTATATAGTCTTAAAGAAACATAACAGCCGCGTATTTGGCTAATAAAGTTCATTTGTGTGATGTGACAACTCATTTCCCCAATAAATGCTGGGAACAAAATGTTGTGCTTATCTTCTGGTCAGAGCACTCCTGGAAAAGTTTTATTCTCTTCAGGGAACTGCTTTAAGCGCACAAATGCAGTAAAGCAACCAGAGAAAACTGTCAAATGAACACTGACTGAAAAAGATTGGTGATATTAAACCAGAGAAGACGTTGGGAAAAGATGAGGGCGAGCAGAATGACCATTGTTTTTAATTTTCTGAGGGGCTCTCATGTTGAAAAGACGATTTTGAAGGGCTCCAGTCAGCACAATGTAAAGATACACAAAGGACAATTATTGGCTTTGCATATAAACCAACAACCAGAGCTTTATGGAACTGGAGGGAGCTGCTCTTTTCCTGGAGGAGTCACAGTAGACTGACCACGTGTGAGGGTGTCCTGACAGGTTGCTTCATGTTCTGGGTGAGGGGCTGCATTAGATGTGACTGCGATTCTGTCAGGTAAAAACCCAGTAGTCTTCTGTACTTCAGATTATCCTTCTTCTCCTCCTCTTACTGGCTTGGAGACTGAAGTGATGGGGAACCTTGTTACTTCAGTGCCACTCTTTCCTTCTACAGCAGGGGAAGGATAAGGCTGCTGCCCTCCCAGAGGAGGCAGGCAAGGAGGAATCACTGCAGTCAGGTGGGTTCTGCCAAAGTCTGTGTTTGATGGGGAACTAGGGAGCAGCAGAGGTTAGTAACCATTGCTCTCCTTTTCTCCCTTACCTCCAGAGCGGCAGCTAGTCCAGTTGATACAACAGCTGGCCCAGACAGAGCAACACCTGAACAATCTGATGGCCCAGCTAGACCCCCTTTTTGAGAGGTAAGGAGAGCAATTTGTGGTAGGTGCGAAGCGGGGACGTAGGTAAGTAGATTGGACAGCGTCTGAATGGGCATCTCTGCAGTGTGACCACCCTGGCTGGAGCACAGCAGGAGCTTCTGAATATGAAGTTACACACCATTCACCAGCTGCTACAAAAGAACAAGCCAAACAAGGGTGTGGAGGATCCAGAACCAGGTAACAGGCTCGGGGTGAGTGGGGTGGTGGTAGAGACAGTCTCTGAAACTGGAACATGCCCAATCTTCCCCTCACAGAGGCCAGCATACCCTCTCCTGAGGACTTATGTGTGAAGGAGGAAGAAAAGGAGGCTGGTGACAGTCAGGCCTGGGAAGAATGCCTAAACTGGAGCACAGAGACAAGGAACCTGGCTACGCCTTGGGGAGTGGAGCAGGGGCTAAGGAGAAGATGCAGCAAGGCTGCAACAAGGGGCCCCAGTCACAGCCCCCTCTGGGAAGGAGGGGACACAGCTGAAGTTTCAGTAAAACAAAGTCTTTTCTTGTGATTGGTGCTCCTGGGTGCTTTTTCCATTCCAGCTGGTCCCCCCCCCCCCCCCACCCCCCCATACTAGGTGCCTAAGAACAACTGGAAGGCACCTCTCAGTGCCTCCTAGAAAAGCTTCCCTTATTAGGACAAAAAGAGGCCGCCGTTCAGAGTGAGGGCTAAGAAGACAGAGGGAGCTCTAGTCCTTTTCCTCATATTCATGAGGCCACTGTCATGCCAGCCTTCAGGGCACAAAAATCCCTTTTCTCATATCACATAACGGAGAAAAGCCTTTCCAGAAAAACAACAACAAAAAAGCTTTACTTAAATCCAGGAGGAAAATAAAACTATAAAATAGCCACATTTGCAAAGCCACAACCTTGACAAATGACTAGCCATAGACAGAGCACCAAGCTTATCAGCTCCCCATCCCCTCGTCTGTGCTGGAGGGGCTGGTTTGGTGCAGGTTCAGTTCGGTCAGACTTGGTTTCTTGATTCTTAAGATCTGGTCCAATAACTCAGTTCCAGGCAAACACAAAATGACCTCTAGCAAACCATGAAGCGTTTTGTGTTTAGTTTTGTACTCCTGACACTGGCCTATCCCTGAAGTATCCTGGGTTCTGGAATTCTTAAGATTCTTCTAGTTCTTCTGGCTGCTGTGGAAAGAAGGCAGTTCATGAATTGGGATGAGCACTCTATTCAGACAAAATTACCCATGGGAGAAGGGGAAAGGGGCAGGGGTGTCCCCCACAGATGTAGGATGTGAGATAGGATCAGAACTGCTCACCTCCAGCCCCTGAGCCTCATCACAACACTCTTACCAAGCAAAGACGCAGCTCACCTGATGGCCAGAGTCAGACTGTGGTGCCAGTGCACCAGCGCCTCCTGGTCGGTGGACATCAGCAGTAGCTTCTCATGGGGAAAGGACAGCTAGGGAGAGACTGCCTCTCAGTGCATGGCTCGGACAAATCCGGCTACAGCTGAAGGCCTTGCTGCTCCCACACGGGTAATTTAGGACTGAAGTAAGAACTAGGTATGAACCCCAAAACCCAGTTATCCTCTCTGTTATCCCCTCATTTCCTCTGAAAGGGGCCCAGGCCAAAGAGATAAAAGGGTGCATAGGTATCTGAGGCCTCTCCGACCTTCCCCGGGACTCTCACCTTATATTACTTACATTGAGCAGTCCCCCACAATGGCCTCCCGAGTGGCCAAAGACCTTGTGGAGCTGACACTGGGCCATGGGGTAGAGGGCCTGGCAAATGAAGGTGCCACGCTGCAACAGGTGCAATGTGGGTCGAGGCTTGGCCATGAGAAGCACGTCAGAGAAGAGGAAGAACATTCGGGGCCGAGGTTTCCCCCTGGGAGGCACCACTAACAGCCAGCCCTGACACAGGAACCAGCGACCTGGGGACGGGAGAGCTGTTATTCTGATGTAGCTCTAGGACCATGCTCCACGGGAGTAGAGGGAGAGGGAGGCTGAGAGAACGGGTACGTGCTGGTGGTACTGAGGAAGCGGGGTGAATAAGAACAGGGCAGATGAGGGCTGAGGGAGAAGTACGCAGACTACCTGAGGTAAGCCCCTTCGCCTGGCGTCCACTGAGAAGAGCCTGGACACGCCGGAGGTGCTGGTCATTCTTCTGTTTCTGACCGATGGCGTGGACTCTCTGGGCAGTCTCACTTATCAGCCGAGCAGCCCCTGGAGTAACATCCCCAAGCCCATTTCCAGCACACCTCTGACTCTGGGACTGGTCGTGGTGAAAGACAGGCTATACCCAAGGGGCCCAGGACCCAACTTCTTGAAGAGTGGGTAGAAACATAGGGACATCCTGTACATGTTAAAGGAGGATAGGGCAGACATTGTTGGCGAACACACCCAGAAAGGGATATAAGAAAGGCAGCCTTCTGCCCGAGTTTTGGCAGAGTAAGAACATACGTGTGAGCTGTTGGTGGTCAGGGCTGTTGGGACTTGTGTTCTCGGCCAAAGCAACAACAAGATTTTCATACCTAGAAGTAGACAGTTGCAAGTCTGAGGGGAAGTAGCGCTGGGCAAAATTCCCTCCGCCTGACTCACACATAACCCCCTACATATAGTTGCATTGCGAAGCCAGGGAAGATCTGCTTCTGGCTGTTGCATCCCCTCTTTCAAAACTTGGGCTCACGCCACATGGCTCTTTCCCATCCCACAACGATGAGTCAAGGGCAGACTCCAGGAATTCTAAGCTAGGACAGCCTCTCTTCTCAGCAAACTCTTCCAAACACCCTGTCACTAGCCCTACTACAGGCCCCCTCACTTCAAGGTGGAGTCCTACTACAGTCCCAGCAAAGGGCCTGAGGCTGCAGACTCCAGGTACTCCAGTGAGTTCACACAAAAAAAGATTTTGGGAGCAATTCTTCCCAGGAGAGGGGCATTGGGGCAGGGCAGCTGCCAGTCATACAGATTCAGGAAAGAGAAGTCGGCCAAGTTCACTCACTGCTGGAGCCTCTGCAGAGGCAGAGGGAGCAGGTCCTGGAGCTGAAGGCCCTCAAACTCAGGGCGGCCTTCCTGAAGCCTCACGAACCTCCGGAAACGTTTGCTTTTCTTTAGTTGTTCCTGGGGTGAGGAGGAAAAGGTTGGCAGCAGAGAAGCCATGCCTTACATGGTATTCACCTGTGTACACATCCCCGGCCCTCAGTAAGCTGTGTGCTCCTAAGTGAACCCCTATCTCCCTACAGGGACTCGGCACAGAATGGGACACCCAAGGGCCCTCTAAATGTAGGATCAGCAGGGATGAAGTTTAGGTCTCCAGATGAACAGCGAATGTATGGGGCAAGAGAAGAGGGGAAGGATTTGAGGTCACCTTCAGGTTACCTGCAGGGTGGTCTGGGACTTCTCTGCATTGGCAGCAAATTGGGTGTACAGCTCCAGATGTGGACAGAAGCCCTCCAGCCCCTGTCCCCAGTGCCCTCCTTCCAGGTAAGGAAGCAGCTCTCTGTGTGGATGAGGACAATAAAAGAGCTGCCAAAGAACTGCTCGAGAACCACATTTAATTCTTATAACCCTGCCCTAGAGGTAGTGCTGTTATCCCATTTTACAGATGGAGAACCGGGGCACGGGGCCAAGACCACAGGTGAGGTCATTGGCAGGCTCAGAATATGAACCCGGGTCTCTCCAACTCCGAAGCCAGGACACTCCCTCATTCCCGCTCCTCAAGTTCCTTCAACTCACTGGCTGGCGCTGTAAATGAGCTCCCAGGGCCCAAACAGGGCGTGGCGCTCTGGTGGTCGCAGGGTGCCCTTGGCTCTCAGAATCCCCACGAAGTACTACGGAATGAGAGAACACCGTTGTCTAGTCTGCAGGTGGAGGTAAACGCCAAGGCGTAGTTAAAATCTATAGAAGTCTCCCCAGACCCTAAATGCGGGCGGACAGGGCAAGATCACCCCCTCTGACCCCGGACTCAGGATCACGGACCCTCCCACACCCTGGGGTCCTCGCCCCATACGAGAGCGCGTGCGGGACCCGCACCGTGGCCACCAGCCCGAGCTGTTCCTGGTAGCGCCGCTCGGTCACCAGCAGCTCCCGGGCGGTGCAGGCGCGTTTCCGCTCCCAACGGGCACGCTGCTCTTGCACAGGGCACCGAGCCCTAAGGACCGGGATCTCCATGCCTAGCTGACCGGTAGACATTTCCAGACACAGCCCGCCGGAGATTCAAATCCTAACAGCTCCGGGGGCGGGGCAGCGTAGGAGAGCGCGCCTCCTGGCGCCTGGAGGCTGAGTGCAGGACAGAGCGTGCACCGCAGCCAGAGAAACCCGGTCGGGTCTCTGCCACCGCCTCGCCCCACCACCAGGGTACGCTGTAGGGGCGTGACGCCCTCCGGGGTAGGGCCGGGTGGGGCAAGTGGGTGGCCCTCTTCTGAGTGGCACTAAGTTGGGGCAGCAGCCTGAACTTTGAGTCAGGGGACTTCGGGGTGCAGACACTAGCAGGGCCTCCGTGCCCCATCTGTAGAAGTGGGAAAGAGGCAATACTTGCCTCTTCGTTCTGTACACAAGGGCCCGTGCCAGACGCGGGGGTTCAGTCATTCCCAATGCTCTTTAAAACTAGGAGTTCTCATGGGTCACAGCTTTGAAATATTTCACCCCTCTCTCTCCCCCCACCCCGCCCTGCTCAGACAAAACTTATAGCTTATAGGGTTTTTTTTTAGTCTGAAAAATTTATTTATTTATTTATTTATTTATTTATTTATTTATTTATTTATAGATTTTATTTAGTTATTTTTCAAGTACAGTTTTTTGTCTATTTCTCCCATTAGCTTATAGGTTTTAAGTTACTCGTTTTCTTGTTCCAAAATCTGACAGCCAATTAGCTATGGTCAGCAGGTGTCAATAACTAACACGGTGGTTTAGAATTGCTTAATTAGGGCCAAAGGCAAAAAGCATGCAGTTCATCAATCTGTGCTGTCTAATCAAAGATAATATGCACCACGTTTTCCTTCTTTCGTTCTTTTGAAACATTGGCAGTAGCCCTGGAGCATAAATTGGCAGTGCCATTTTGTCAGTGTGTCTTTAACTGTGTCTACTCTTACAACCCAGCGATTCCGCTTCTAGGAATGCACCCTAAAGAAATAGATATGTGGCCCTGGCTGGTGTGGCCCAGTGGACTGAGCACAGGCCTGTGAAGCAAAGGGTCGCCAGTTCGAATCCCAGTCGGGGCACATGCCTGGGTTGCAGGCCAGGTCCCCAGTAGAGGGCACATGAGAGGCAACCACACACTGATGTTTCTCTCTCTCTCTTTCTCCTTCCCTTCTCCTCTCCCATTAAATAAAATGTTAAAAAAAGAAAGAAAGAAACAGATATGTGGACAACGATACGAAATACGTGGACTCAGGTGTGAGGCACGACATAATACCAACTGAAACCTGGAAACGGCCTAAATGTCCACGGCTAGTGCAGTGGCTGGGAAAACTGGGGTACAGCCATTTGAAAGAATAATATGAAAGGATAAAATTGATGTTAAAAAGCTGTCAGTATGGCAAAAGGTCCATGGT